AACAACAAAATGTAATATCAAATCTATCAGTATTTAGTGTGTCCACCATTTGCCTTTATTACAGCTTCCGTTCTCAAAGAAATCTGCAGGGATATTTTCTCACCTCCAAAGTTCAGTCTTAGAAGTTGGTTGTATTTTCTGCTTCTCACAATCCAAGTAATCCCACACACATTTAGTAATATTGGGGTCTGGAATCTGGGGTGGTCAGTCTGTTATTATGAGAACACCAGCAGCTTCTTTGTTTGCAAATTTTCCTCTGTTTTGTCTATCTCCTTTTTCAGTAATTGCTTCTTGATGGCTACACATCCTTTCAGACTCCTAGTGTTGAGCTGTCTTCTCACAGTGGAAGGATGGACCGATCTGAAGCAAGAGTGGATTTTCCCTACTCTCTCCCAAAAACGAAAGCTTTACTGGTTATCTGATGGTGTCAGTTTTGGTGGTCTACCAGATCTAGTATGGCTGTTAAGCATCCCATTTTTATCTTAATGATTGAACTCCAGTTTTGGAAACTCTGGAAACTGTTTTTAACATTTTATCCCTCAAATTTCCTAATGCTAGTAGACAGTTTTGTATCTAATTTCCTTGGAATCATCTCCTGAAAAATGAACTTAATGTCTGTTTTGGAAAGGAAACGGGTGAAGGGTGGTCTCTGACCTTTGCACAGTGTCATATAGTACATCAAACTTTTTAATTTCAGGAAGGTTTTAAAAAAGATGCCCTTTAAATTTGGAGTTATTTTATACACATATTGTGAAAAACAGCATATTAGCCAATTATCTCATTACTGCCTCTCTGTCCGGCACACAAATACTTCCCCTGTAGTTAAATATTATACATAATCATGTAAAATTATTAATGACTAGTGCCACACTGCTTTAGATTCTGTAGCTAGCTACCTTTCCAACACTTCTCAATTATCACTGCTCTACCTGAACGTTTCAATCATGTGTACTTAGCTTCAGCTAATTGTAAACACTTCATTACTCAGTGAACAATAAGGTGCCAAACCCACTTAATGTCAAAGCTCACATTAAAGGTACTGGGTTGTAATTACTGTTTTGTAGAAAACTGACTTTGAATAAGGTGGGCTAACTTTCTCCACACGTCGCTTTGTTGAGTTGGGCTCACATTAAAAGGAGCTTGCCCTCTGCATGCAGAAGAGAAGCAGGTCATTTGGAACACCTGCCTGCTATTAACTACTTTAGTGCCGCTGGGAGAAGACTTGCCTTTGCCTATGGGAGCATCATTTGATGACTCCAAAAGATGACACACACATACACACACACATGCACGTACGCGCGCACACACACACACACACAGCCCTTACAGATTCCTCCAGTGGGGAAGTTTTATCAGTGGACAGTGAACGGTGGCTGTAAGCAGAAAGCCAGCAGCATCTCAGTACTAAATGAAGGCTGAGTTTCCTGACCCAGCAGGGCCTCTCCCTTAAAGATAGCTTTGTACCAACGCATCAAGATCAGCAAATTGTGGTGAATTAGTATTATGCTTGACCTGGGTTGACCTAAGCACTACCGCACTCTTGTTTTATTACTTTAAAAATAGAGTTACCAGAGTCACCATCTCAGAGAGAATTACACTAAATACTGCTATCAGGCTACAGGTCATAGCAGTTCAAGTGGGTAAGGAATACTTCAGATACAATAATCAAGCATTAAGACTGACAAATGCAGTACATTAGACAACCATAGCAAAGAGTTACACTATACTCTCACTATATCATAAGCCCTTCCTTAAAGGGCCTCCTGCTGGTGTACAGTTAGACTGTAGCTCATCTGTTGGTGCTAAATATTCATTAATGACCACAAACTGTTTTTGGCTGAATACATTTGGGTGGTGGACCCACACTTGACCCAACCAAGACACAAAAAATTATACTTAAAGTTAATTTCATTAAACAAACTTCAAATATATTCACCAAGTATACTTTATGTAGTAAGTACACTAATATCAGTGTTCTCGTAGTATACGTGTAAGTGTAACACTTCTTGGGACTAAATTGGCCCACTTTTTTTTTTATAAAAGTATACTTTTAAGCATACTTTAGGTGTAAGAGTAGCACTTTGAGCACACAGCTAGTTCACATCTAAGATTTATTTTGTACTGCAACTATACAATACAGTATGGGCTGCACAGTTTCAGCTTTTTAAAAGTTATGTGAACAAAGTCGAGTCCTCGTCAATTAACCACTGATGATGTTATGAATAAACCACAGAGAAGGGAATGTTTCACAAAAGCGACTTTAAAAATCTGTGACGAAGTCAAACTGGAGATACACACCCCGAAATCACCAAGCTCCTCACCTGCTGTCTTCTCTGAGGCTTCCATGTTGTTATTGTTCTAATCACGCAGTCAGCGACTGGTCAACATCAAGCTTAAAGTGCCATCGCCAAGCAGTCAACAAGACTAGTCTGTGCAACTCCTACTGTAAACTATACTAAAAGTGAACTGCTTAGTTATTAAGGTACTATTAGTTATATACTTCTGAATAACCTCTCTATAAATTACAAGTACAGGCCACAAGTATTAACAAGTATATATTGTGTGTGTATATATATATATATATATATATATATATATATATATATATATATATACACACACACACACCGTTCAGGCATAACATTATGACCACCTCCTTGTTTCTATGCTCATTGTCTATTTTATCAGCTCCACTTACTACATAGGTGCACTTTGTAGTTCTACAATTACAGACTGTAGTCCATCTGTTTCTCTACATACTTTGTTAGCCCCCTTTTACCCTGTTCTGGACCCTCACAGAGCAGGTACTATTTGGGTGGTGGATCATTCTCAGCAATGCAGCAACACTGACGTGGTGGCATTGTTAGTGTGTATATACACTATTTTTCAGATTTTGAATTTAAATTTATGTATTTCAAATACATTTCAAATGGTAGCATATGTAAGCAGCTAGAGAGTGGAAATGCAAAGTATGTGTTGGTGAAAAAGTGAAAATTGAGTGCATATTATGGATTTTTTTTAAACTGTGGTTATTGTTTGTGACCTACTGCATATTTCCAGTGTAAATCAAATATGGTATTCTGATTAAAATAACAGTGACATTAAATAATGTAAACACAAAATATTCTTTATTTTTTCCTCTTTACCTAAAGACTACACAGATTCACTGCTGTAGCTCTAAAAGGTATCTACATTTGCATTTTATTTACAGCCCATTTCTTGCCCTCTTATTTACAGGTTCAAAGAGAAGCGTTAGAAACACAGTGTTGAGAACAAACAAATGAAAAAAAATCCAAATGAGTCCAAATCCTTAGAAAAAAATTACAGCCTCACAACGCAGTTGTCAGTGCAGTCACCACGATGCACATTTTTTCCTTCAGCCACTTTTTTTTTTTTACAGCAATATTGTCCAACGTAGTGTCACTGTATCCAACATCCAATTGACAACAAAAATATGCTTGACAGTATTTTACAGACACTTGATCACTGAACTACTCCTCTCCTCAAACCTTCCCCAGTCACATAAAGAGTGGCAACAGCTTCAGTCAGAGACAGATTCTGACCGCTTCCATGAGGGGTGCCGGCACGACACCATGTCCAACACATTAACACCATTTTGTTCCACCTCGGACATTTAAAGCCAGAGCAAGGCTACACTGGACGCCCTTTTAAGTTCAGCGCATAGATGAGCTATAGGACACATATAAGAAGCAGCAAGTTATATCCAGGTGGCGGGTTGCCAGATTGGCATGCATGTAAACCCCTCAGCTTGTAGACAGCAACCTACACATCTGCAGACGCTTAATGCATCTCAGGCAGCTGTGGGACTCAGTGGGGTCTTGTCTTTCACATCCAGGGCACTTAAGATTCTGACCCTCAGGCATCCCACAGGGCTTTAAATCTGTCCTTAGCCCAGTGTTCAAGGCTAGCACTCCACGCCTCGAGAAAGGGAATGGCTAAGCAATGTGCTGTCTCTTTTTTTTCTTCTTTTGTTTTAAGCATTCACATCTCTTGCACATAGGGAACATAAGAGGAGGAATATTGCTTTAAAAAGCACATTACTAAAATAAATACTGTTATCCTTAAAAGGAACGGTTTAGCATATTAAAATCTTTCTTTTCTTTAACAATTAAAAGCAAACAAATTAATTTAACCGATTGACATTCCCAAACATATATATACTTTATTCCATGTGTCAGAACACTAGGCATCGTTCAAATACAACAGTTAGCAGAAAAGGGACAACAGTTCACATTTTTTGTAATGTATTCACATTAGTTATACTGTACTTCCATATATGCAGCTATGAAATAAAATTTGGAGTGATTTTTGAACTATTTTAGTAAAATATTCATTTTAATACAGAAACCTCCTACTACATTTTCAAACAGTGCCATTTTCATTTTCATAAGACCATGGGGAACTATTTTCTGTTTCGTCACTCATTTGGACAAAGTCTTTTTGGACAAAGTCAATTCTTTTTTATCCATTTGGTCAAATTCGGAGATTAAAAAAATACTAGGCAGTCAACCAGTCTGGAAACGGCACGCGACACCGTGACAGGAGTCGAGGATGAATGGGTGGGAGGGAGGGGGTAATTAGGAGCCTGAACAGCAGACACCGTCGTCCTTCTTTGAGTGTGGCATGGTCAGGCTTTCAAGTATAAAAAGAAGCGAATAAAGAAAAAAAAAGAATGTCTCTCCTTGGCTGTGGTGTGGGGGGGGGCAAAGGCAGGATGGAGGTGAAGCTGAGTGCCAATCTGCTCCACCTGGCAGCAGAACCAGCAAATGACCATAATGCACTAGCAGCCAGTCTTCCAGGCTTTCCTTTGAGCAGATCTGTAGACAGGGAGGCAGAACAGAGTAACTGACGTCGCCATATGCCATTCCTCTAGCAGCCACAACTCAAAGGGCAAAGACTGTTGAGGATTTCCAAAAAAAAAGAGCACTCGAATGTTTATGCAGTGCAACTGCTTTGCAACCATAAAGTTCTTTCTTTTCTGAAAAAAAGTCAAGACACATTTTAAGGAAATAAACAAATGAAATAACCTAAAATTAAACAAAGTGGTCACGTAAGCAACTTGTCTTTGGCGAGAAGTCCCGGATGCTGAGTCCAAGTGGCACCGTCATGTCACCTGCGGCCCATTTCGCTCTGTCGCAGAAAGTGGACGTTGCTAACGCTGTCAGCCAGCTCAGGGAACTGGTCCACGGAAACGATGTAGTAACCCTCGTAGCCCTGTACTCGGCCTGAGGCCAGAAGCTGCTGCCTCTCTCCGTCTGTCCATGTGCGGGTGCCATCCTCACCCTGCCGAAGCCTGAGCCGCTCTCGGGTCCAGGCCGCGTCCACCACCCTCTGCCTGGCCAGCTCCAGCACCCGGACCTTTTCCTCCTCCATGCTGCTGCCGTAGCGCACATTCAGGCTCAGTGTGCCGTGCTGCAGCCGCACATCTGTGATGCGCCGTGTCCGGCCGCCCAGCACAGCGTTGACCTGCGAGACTGACACATTCACACCCGTCTCCAGTGTCCGGCGGCCCACCGTCATGCCTAAAAGTGCCAGGTCGCCCTCTACTGGCCCTAGTTTAACAAAGTAGTGTGTGTCAATGCCAGCAATGGTGAAGTGAAGGTCCTGCAGGTAAATGGCCTGGTCTAAAACGGCGGCCAGCCGCCGGTCATCCTCGTTGGCCAGGCTGATTATGTCAGCGCTCACGCGACCCTCCCGGATGGCCAGTTTCACTCCTTTCCCAAACATGGAACTTCCAGAAGCAAAGGATGTGTGGCCAGGTAACTGCTGGCAGCCGGCACCACTTGCTCTGTAGATCTGGTCAAAGCGCTCCAGCCGGACGAAGGACTTGAGCTGTCTCTGGACCTCGCACTGGACGCCGAGTACAGACTGCACACAAACACAAACAAAATCAGGTGACTGACAATGACATTCAAAGTAGCTAATTCACATTAGCTAAGCTGCATTTTCATAAATGTTTCTGACTGTCTCTAACATCACAATGTGGAAGAGCAGATGTGTCAGGATTCAAAACAGACTAAAATATACACATATTATTCATTGTGTTTATTCATTGTCAAATATTCACAATCAGCAGAGCTTGGTGGTCATAACTCATTTCAGTTTCTTTCAGTTGACAGCAAAGCTCCTCTTTCTAATGGTAGACTAACAAGTTAGCTAGGTACATATGCTAGCGGGAGCGTACCCATGTTGTCACGGCACAGATCTTTATATGATTCATCATAACTCAAGATGATATATTAAGGTAACCTATTAAAGAATTACTAGTCCTTGTTTAGGATCATGTGGTCACCAAAGCTAACAGGGAACAATGCAGAGCAGATTTTTCCGGTGGGAACTCACTTACCTTTGGCTAAACTAGCCTCACTCAGCTAATTAGCTGGCTAAGCAAACTGTTTTTTGAGAAGTTAGAGCATATCATACCTTAACTTTACAAATCTGTCTGGGCTAGGCACTCTGCAAGTTAGCAGAGTACACTTAAAACAGTGTCAAGAATTCCTAAGGTGAAATGGTGAGGGGTAAGCTGACAAACACATGTTAAGAACAGCACTGAAATGAAGGGTAGATGTTGTCACTGAGGATGCGCATTACTTTGGTAAGGCAATCTTGTTAATATTGAGAAGTTCAAATTATATTATGACCCATAACAGCCCCAGAGAACATAGGAAGCTGGAAATAAAGGGCCCTGGGAACATAGGGATGGTGCCTACATTGGCTAGCTAGTCATTCTAGTGTAGTTTTTTATATTAATCGGTTAAACACATTTAACAATGCTGGCTCACACTCTCACCCCTGTATAGAGCTACAGAATTCTGAACTGTTGGAAATCAGGCTGATCAACTCCAGATCAATTTAAAAAAATACAGTCAGTGCGGCTACAGTAAGTGTATACTATGAAGCTGGTTTTAATAAGTACTGAACTGTCTGCCTGAATTTATGACAATCCATTATTCAGCTTGAAGCAGCTTCATAGCATAACCTAATATCTCTGTTTTCAATATCATGTAAGACTTATTTTGTACTGGGCACATTTACTGTGCAGAATTGGCTCCAACACAAGAAAGCCTCGTTGCTACTACTTCTGCCATGACCACGTCTCTAGGGGTTCTGGCTGAAATTTGAAACATCATGCTATGGCTGAACCCAGACTGGAAGCGTACGGCACGAACACTAAAATATCCGCATTTGGTTTTCACACCCTTTCTGCCAGGCCCTGCAGCAGAAGGCTTGATTGCACCTCCCGCCTCCGCTACCGCTATTTCCCGAGAGTAAGTAACGTCTTCTGATGGCTGGTGCAGGATGGGTGATCTCAGCGGGAAGCAGCCCCGTTCTCCCCCACATTCTCTCTTTCTCTCTCCCTCACAGTCCAAAATCAGGCTGCTTCATTACCACTTCAAAACATCTTTCATTTCCCTGCTATGACTATGCCATATAAGCTGTTCTATTTCACGTTAAGGTGTGCGAATGCATGTGGATTAAGTGCTGCCAATGTTTTATTTATTTATTTATTTATTTTTTACGGCTTTCTTTGGTGACTGGGGTTTGAAACACAGCTAGTTTAATTCTTCGTTTTGTTTTGTCTAACAGAAGTCTAGTTTATTTGATCTTAGTGGTGACCACCACTGCACTCAATGTTCTTTTCCTGACAGTTAGCTATGTATAGTTTTCTCAGCAGACCTTAACAGGTTCTAGTATGATCTAGATCACATTTTAATTTTTTATTTTCTTGCCAGTAATAGCCATGACCAGTCTTCAACAGTGGTTTCACCAAAGAGAAATAATGAAATAAAAGAGGCAGGGGGTTGAAAATGGTGTCCACTCCTGAGGCTAACATAGATGTTATGTGGGAAGTGCCTCCTCAGGGCTTGAAAAGTGACCCTATCGTCTAATATCACTTGACAAGAGATCCTTGCCCCAGAGAACACAGATTTGAACAACATGGAGAGATGTATGGGATAGGGGAGGGGGGATAGTTGCCAGACGCTGGTCATGAGTAGCTCCTGCTGAGAGGCCCACACCAAAAAGCCGCTGGCAGAGAGGAGAGACGCTGAAAGCCCTGCTAGCATTAAAGCACTGCAGCCCAGACTACTGCCAACAGCTGATGCACATGCCTATTCTACTCTCTCTCTGTCCTACTACGTCTTTCTCTCCCTCTCTGTTGGGTCCCCATTGACCTCTGCCTGGCTGTGCCTATCCCTCTCTCTGCAGAAGGAAAGCTGAGTAAGAGAGGTTTGCCAAAAGACTTTAACCTAACATTTACCTTGCATAGGTAAATATGTCCGTCCATTTTTATGGGTAACAGCATATCACTAGTTATTGACTAGCATGCACTTCTACATCACACCCAGATTCCAGTTGAAAAGTTAAAATACTATGACTGGCCTGAAACTAGACTGAGAAGCAAAAAATAGAGTATGTGTTTCTCTGTTTTCTGTACCAGCCATTCACTCTGACTACCCCAAAATCTGCAGACCAGGGCTGAGACTGTGAACCATGGCAATACTCAAGGTAGCAGGGTGTAACGAAACCCCCCAGTTACAGCTACAGAATGCATGTTTGTTCAGAACCGGTGTATCGGGATGGTAATATCTGTCCTGTGGTCTGTCCCTGTGACATCCCAGCTGATAAAAGGCATCAATCAAAGTAGCATGGGGTGGTCTGGCCGCACGCAGGGCACTCAATCCAGGCCAGTGATCAAAGTCAGGAGCTAACAGTGGACACCACCAGGACCGCAAGTCCACATGCCCTGCTCATTTTTCAAACTAGCAGCTCTTCTAGGTGCCAAGGCCTGTTGAGCCTAAAATGGCACGGTGGGGGAGAGAGATTAAAAGTGAATGCTTGCTTCCCTGCCGTTTCTGGAAATTTACGGCGTGTGACATCCATCACGTTCAGTTTAAGAGTACGCCGAACCCATGCTTCAAAGAGCCGTCAATTTAATTACAAGAGGTCAGCTATTTGGAGGAAAGACCAATATAGTAATAACACAGCCCTGAGCACTGTTTCTGCAGTCTGCTGGAGCTACAGCTGAGAATTGGTGGGGTGTGAATGTGCTTGGTGGGACTTTGCTGCACTCCTGAGACTCGTACCAATATTCGTCAACTACTAAAGAATTAGCTACAGGACGCATGTTAAGTAGGCACGAGTCAACTGATGGTAGCATTGTGAATCGCCGATAGATTTCAACCATCATGACTGCAGATCAAGATGGATGATTTAAATGTCAGAAAAGGCAGCGTCTGCAGCTTAAGATGCACTAAAGCAATTATATTTGTCACACAACTTTTGTTTTCTTTTAGTGTGTTTTCTTTTAATGAGTAGTCCTGGTCCATATCAGTCTATATATGCTGTGTGACATTAGAACATTCTATAACAACAGAGGCTATAGGCTGACTTCATGGTAAGCTTTAATATTTTAACAAGAAGTGATTTATAGGCTGTAAACTAGCAAGGTATTAAACCTATAGCAAAAACTACCAAATCCCTTCAACAACTACCAAACCATAAGCAAGAACAATGTTGGCCAAGTTAGCATTTATTTTCTCTGATCTAAGCAGGCTTCTGTGTAGTGCTGCCACATAACCTGCTGAGCTGAAAGGGGTTATTGGAGAAAGGAGCCACAGAAAAAGCAGTCAGTCGGTCAGTGTTCATGGTTTGCAAGCTCACAGTGTGAAAAGTGACGCTTTAAAGCAGCACGGTAAAATAAGCATGGCACTTAAAGTGGGACATGAGTCACGAGTTGATTAGCATGCATTCTCTATCTTTTGCTAAAGAGAATGATCTTTGTATGAATGAATGTTGTAAGTAATTATCTGATCAACATACATTTATACAGGTGGTGAAATGCAAAACATTTTCCCCTGTATAGGGTCAACTCCCCTAATCAGACACAAAAATACTACATAAGTTGATTTGAGGTTCCAGGAGTAAATCACTCCACCTTGAATCAGAAACCATCTAATCCTCATGGTCTTTTTCTCTGAAACTATTTTCGACTACATGTGAATGCTCCCTGGTGTAAACACGGTAAAGAAAATATAAGCATCTCTGTCCTGAGGCTTTTTCAGAGAAGCAATCAGACTCTTTCAAAAAGCTTTAATCTTCTAAAGGAGCTTTAGTACCAGGAATAATAGTAATGGCATTCTAGCCATGTAATAAAGTAGACAGAGAAAACATTTACATTACCAAGTCCAAACAAATCTTAATTGTATATGTACTACATATATCTGCCATAATGGGGACAGAACCACTCCAGAGATGTCTTTCATTTTGGTGAAGTTTTGAGTGCTTCTAGGAATCTTGATAAAATGCATTTTCATATGTGAAATAATGGGGCCACTTTTGTACCACTCGAAATTTTTAAGCACGACGTAGCCAGGTTTTACTCCGAGATATCTGATAAATATCCTTGTTTCATGCTTTCTTTTACAATGGTTAGAGCATTTTGAGACTACTGTAAAAGTATATAAAAAGCATCCACCTGAAGCGAATGGAGGAGCTATTGCCACAAATGTGAAGGAGTGGCCCTTTCCTCCTCCCTCTTCATCTCAGTGGATGCTTTGAATGAAACATGGGCATTATGGAGCAAACAACCTACTCCAGCCTCTCATAAGAGCAGTGCTACTGTTGCAGGGGCCATTAGTGGATTTTTAAATGCAGCTGCTTTAAAAGCCCATAAATGACCCCATAATTATATGGCCAAAAAGCAATTTGGCCAGCAATTAGAATCATTTACTTCCTCCCAATAAAAAAGGGAAATAATGGTTGTCAGTGCAGTAGTGATGATTTATGGGTAACAAAGTAGCTATTCCTACACTGAAAATTCGAGGGCTAAGGCCGTTCTTTCTGCTTCTCAGTTCCAGAATAAAACTGATGCACTCGGAGAAGCACAGAAAGAAAACAGTGATTCCAGTGACTTTTTTAAAACTTCTGGCAAAGCATATAAAATGCCGGGTGAAATGAGGAAATACAAAAGAGTTGTCTCAGAATTGAATTAGGCTTGTTCTTCTTTTCAGAGGAGCCTTGAAAGAGGCACAGGAGAGGAGTTGTAAGACACCCTCTGGAGAGGAAGTCTGTAGGTTGAAGTTTGAAGGGTGTAGAGCGGCTCCCTGGGGGCTGAGATTTGGCCCGGTGGAGACTGCAAACGCATCGTAGCCACGTATCCCAGGTGACTCAGACTCAGCTCATGCTGCGCACAGAGGAACAAAACCAATAGCTCTGGCAGGTCTTGATGCCACTGCTTTAACTTTTAACAAGGCATAACGTGGTCAAGTTAGTCATGCTTAGACCCCCTTTTCTAGCCCTTTTGAAATTAGCCAGTTGGGTTTTATGACCACTATAACTTCCTCTGTCTGTAAATACTTTCAGAACAAACCCAACACACTGACAAAAGTCTGACAAATTAAATCACCTGCATATATCCAGGTAGTGCTGTGTGGTATAGATACAATTCAATATCACAATATTTCCCAAATATATAACAGTTCATGATATCAGATGATTTTTAATTTTGCATTAATAAAATTGAAAATGAACTCATGCTTCTTAAGTACTGATACTCTAAAGCCATATTCAGACTGTAGGAAAGAGTGGCCCAAATCCAATTTACTGCCCAAAATGCATTTTTTGTTTGGTTGTTCACATTTTCTGTTTCATCTAGCCAGTGTCTGACATCAGTATGGACAGATCAGATCACACGCCTTAACTGACACACATCTGCAAAAGAACAATAATCCACACAAAATGCTCTTCCAACAAATATCTGCAGCGAACCACTACTTTAAATTTTGAGGACAAACAGCAGACACTAAAACGAGCAGGTTGAACAAAGTTAATGGACAACAGTAGAAAATGGTGAATTTCTGAACTTGTTTTAATTGTGAATGCTGATCAGACAGAGAAAAGAAGCTTAATTTCTTTTGTTTACCTGTTGTTAATGTGAATGCTGGTCAATGGATGCAAATTCAACGATATGTACCTGATAAAGAGACTCATTTAACTCTTTTGCTTCTCTCTCTTTTTTCAAATTTTTCTTGAAATAAACCTGACTGGAAATAGCGGTTGTCCTTGATTTTTCTCATCAGAAAGCACAGTGCTTATTGTTTTACACGGCCTGTGCTGTATTGCTCATACTCCACAATGAAAGAAGAGATGCATAACCACAGTAACAGGACTTTTGATGACAGTAAGGTGTCCGTTCCCATGTATATGAAATTATGATGAAGATTATGTTGGACTGATGTAAAAGTCTCATGAATTCCAATCTTGCTCTTTAGACAGAGGTGGCATTGCTGAGTATCACATACGCATCAGATTTCAGTACCACACATGAAAGTAGCTTAAATTAGAACTGAAAATGTCAGATTCACTGTTTTTTTTTGCTGTTCACCTTGCCACACACACACACACTTGTCATATGAAGAAAAAGATGGGCCACTTTTATCTGCAGTACGAACATAGCCTTAGATACCTTGTTTTGAATGGACTGGTTTGTTAGTTTTTCAGTATTGGCAGAAGCCAAATCTAAAGAAAGAAAACTTACTATTTAGTTTTAATATTCTGAACTGTGTTCTCAAGACAGTTTGAAGCACAGAGCAAATGATATATATTACAATTAATGTTTTATTTTTTTGTTATGTATTAATAGCACTAGAAAAAAAAAAGCTGTGTGACACCAATACCAGTTTAGTGGTAAAAGTGCTATATCGTGCAAAGTCTGGGTGAATTCTGGGAAAAGTCTTCACATTTATGATTAAATTATAATGACCCGTTTGCAAAAGGAATATCATTAAGGCAAATGTCTCATTTAAAACCCTTCAACTGTGAGAGGAAGAACAGCTTCTACAGGCTGCACTCCCTTCAATAGATCCTGTAAGCCCACATAACTGCAAAAGAGAATTCTGCCGAATGCTATACAGAATGTAGTACAATATCTCTGGAGATAGAAGAATCTGGGCTATCGGAAGCTTTAGAATCTCTTTTTGGGTATTTTGCTTGCTTCCCTATTCTCCTTGACTGAATGTGTGAACCAAGTTGAACCATGACACATTGACTGCTTCCAATGGTTCCACTGTGGCACATTTAAAACCTCATATCTCAGAAGCCTGAAACTGTGCACACTTCACACCTTTAAACACCTGTCTATTACAGTGCATCCATGTGCAATAAAGGCTTTACATGATGAAAAATTGCCATGACAATCTGATATTCAGACTGAGAGAGCTCCTGTCCCCTACACTTTCACATCATATTCAACAAGGATAGAAGATACATTAGAATGGTCCTTTTGTTATTATGGCAAGAGATCTGCAATAAAACAGGGTGTCTCTGGGTGTTAAGAAACAACACAGACATCAATGCTTGCCTAATCCATGCCACTCTCAGGGAGTAACCTGACCCTTGAAGACAACAAGCAGCTTCTCAATAATTCAGGTGACTTAAAGGAGACACAAAAGGTTGATAAGCCCTAGAGCCCAAGTATTTCTGTGGCCTGTGACAGAGAAAGAGAGACACAGAGAGAAAGAGAAGACAGCCAAGATGTTAGGAAAGTGAAAGTGGGAGGAAAAGCAAGGGAGTGAGGGAGAAGGTGTGTAAGGCTGAGCTGAAATCGATGGCCAGTGGTGGAGGAAATGTGGAGTGAATTTCCCTAATGGCAGGACTATTACAAGAGCTCTTTATTTTGACCCCATTCCCTCAGCTTGAGGAGCCGGAGCAGAGGGTGGGGTGCGCTCGCCTGTGATTTGGGCTGATTGCTGTGGGCACCACTGAGAGATTGCAAAACTGAAGGTTCAGGTTACTGAGAATGAAGTTTGCAGTTGGATTTGAAGGACAAGTATGTAAGTTCATTTCATCTTTGTCAGATCAAAACCTCCATAATTATAATTTGTTTTGTCTGTTTACTGTACTAGAGATGCACCCATATAGAAATTGATGCTGATAATGTTCAAGAACATATATCTGTTGATTTTGATGCTGATAAATAAACATTTTATAAAATGTAGAAATTGAGACTAGAATTGATCAGATCAGCAATATTGAGAAATATTAAAAAAATATTTGTAGAGGGTTAGAAGGGCAGTAAAATGAGCAACATGCAGATATTTTAGCACAAAAACTCTGTGCTAAACTTTAGCATAGAGTTTAGCATAAACTTTGTGCTCTCCTGGAGGACAAAAAGAGCATCAGATATTACCATAGAAGAACCATTTTTGGTTTTCTAAAGAACTTAAGTTCAACTTTACATTTCTCACTCTTGCACATCTCATTTACAAAAATAGTTATCTACACAACCATCCACTGAAATGCTCTTTAGGCAACCAAAAGTAGTTCTTCTATGAAATCACACAAAAATGAATGAAGGCCGTTGCCATCTAAATACTTAATGTGGTAGAACACGAAACTCCAAAGAACTGTGGCCCTCCAGGACTGGGGTCCAACACGTGGGTTACAGTAAGTTACAGTATAATCATAGTATGTATGCTAGAATTTGCAGTAGGCTTACCTTGGTGCTGTCCCACTCTTGTGTCTTCACCTGGGTGTGAATAAGCTCATATGATGGCTCCATGGCATCTGTGACTGGTTTGCGATATCCAGGGATGACATTATACAGCTGAAAGCCAAATGTCACCAACCAGCTATTCACATCTGCAATGACAGAACAGTGATGACAAACCTATTTAGAAGGATGCAAGCACCTGCACTGACTCACCAGTCCACCTTCCACAGCTGCTCTTCACCTCTCTGACATTGCAGTGGTCTGACTAAACTGCAAAATATGATTCATTAAGAACGAGGACCTAGGTCAAGTGATTTTCTCCATGAAATGAGCTCCCCTGCACTCATTACAACAAAATGCCTGATTAGTTTGTGACAGCAGGCCAAATGTGATTAATACTCCAGAGGTTGCAGCATCTCTACCAAAAAAAAGATGATAATTCCCACCACTTCATTCAGACACACTGCACTGATAAAACTTTCATCAAGCATTGCACGAAGTCAAGTAACATTGCAGGTTTGGTTCACAGTCTGCACTTGATTGTAATCCACATTTCATGCTTTCTCCTGAGCCAAATGTCTCATCCCTTCCTATAATCAGAAAATTGTGTATTTAGATTTGTTTACGAAGGTTGCAAATGCTTTCAAATTGGTAGATAGAAAGAGAATGAACCTTGACCAGAATCAAATCGACTTCTGAGTGATTTTTCTCTACTGCGTCTAATACATTTGTCATGGACAGTAGAATCATTGCTACAACAATGGAATGCATTTTGGCATCTGCTCCTTTATTTCTCTCAGTTTTATCAAATAGGGTTCTCTTAAATAAGAAAGCGCTAAAGGACAATAAAAAGACCCCATGTAATTCCAAAGTGCAATGGAAATGCCAACACAATCAATCATGTTGAAGATTAGAACTTACTCTTGTATATCTAAATATCCAAGAGTCACTTTAGCATTCCTCAGGAGCTAGCTTTAATGATATAGTTTAAAGCTTAGTGGGTAGCTGTTTAGTTGACTGTTAAGTATAGCTAGCAGGCAACATTGTTAGCATACAAAGAGACTGCAGTAGGAGGCCTATCCTGAGATACATGTGCTGTTTTTAATATTCTTCCATACATGCACATTATAGTTCAATTTAATTACATACACTGAGTAACTAGAACACTATGCCTGTGCTTCAAAATAAACAATACATCTAATAATCGCCATTCTTCATCATTCATTTCCCATTGGCTGTAAGGGCGACTAAAGCTTTGATTTCAGTCAGAAAAAGCCTGTTTAAAGGCACTGGCATAGACTACAAACACGCCTATAATATTTTGTCCTCGTCCAATAAAACTGTTGTTTAGCTTCCAAGCAGAGAGAATCTGATACAACAGCCCCTGGCTCTGATTTGTATGACCCCCATTGTGTTCTCTGCTTCCACTGGAGAGCATTCACTGCTATTACCTCCCCCATGTACTGAGGCAACAAAGACTGATGCGACATTTTGGGGGAAAACCTGAATGCTGAACAGACAGAGGAAGCTTTTGCACCATCATGATTCCTGGGGAGCCTTTCGAATGCAAAGCCTGAAAAACGCCCCAGGCTGAGGTCTGGAGCACAGCCTAAAAAATGACCACTTCACTGCAGGGAGGACTCTCTTAAAAGGCAGTGAAGCTCATACATGGTGTTTCATTGTTTATGTTTCAAGTTGTTAGTCACGCTTACATGCTGACCATTAAATAGGTTCCATTTAGTATGGAGAGCACAGTTGGAGTAGGCCAAAAGACCTCAACAGCCACTCAAAGATCTCATTTAAATGGTCATATAGTCACCTGTCATGTAGCACTTGGTCTCTTGTGTGTTGCTCAGAGGGTTATTGTTCTTGAACATGTAGAGGTTAAAGGGCACAATGTTGTTGTTGTTCAGCTGCTTCCAGACGTCATGGTCGGGTGTGGTCCAGCGGCCGGCCAAGACGTCGTAGTCCCTGCGGCCCATGTGCACCAGCTTTGTGAGGGGTTCATAGAGGCCACCCTGGTAGCCCACCACCAGTTGAAAGCTTGGGTTTGAGTCCAGGTAGACCTCTCCAAAGGCCGTGTGAAGGATCTGCTTGATCATGAGACCTGAACCACTGAATACAGCTAGTGGCGTGCCAATGTTATCACAGGCCACATAGTATTCATCCCCGCTGCTTAGTTCCATGGCGAAGAGGTGGCCCTGAAGGTCATAGTAGAGTGAGGTGATCTCTGAGCTAGAATGGTTGTACATGTGGGTGACTCTTGTAGGGCTGGACAGGTCCGCATAAAAGAACTGTAGATGGTGACCTTGGCTGCTCCTGCTGGATACTCTGCGGCCCAGACCATCGTAACGGTACTTTATGCTCCATCCGCCAACCTTACTGTAGGCTCTGACCAGCAGGCCAGCTGAGTTGTACTCAAAAAAGTCATTGCCTCTTTGCCTGAGGAACCCATCTTCATCTAACCTGTACTGGACATCTCCAAGTCGTGTGATGCGGTCCCGTATGTCATAACGTAGCGGAGTGAGGCGGGCACTGTTGCCTGGACTCAGGAGGTGCAGGTTACCATTCAGGTCATAGCTGTAGCGCCACAAGGGCTTGTCATTGATGGACACCACTTGGAGCTGGCCATCAGCATCGTACTCATACGTGTACCGTGTGGTGTTGGCATAAGGCCCTACCTTTAGCTCCTTGGCTACCACTCGGCCCATGTTGTCATACTGCACCATCATCCAGTACATCAACGAGCGGAAAATCTCGTACTGTACCTCTTTCACTCGCCCGTAGGCATCAAAGTGTTTGGTGTGGGTCATGACAGCTGTTGTAATGATCTGGTTGATGTCGTAGTAGATGACTCCAAACTTGCCAAACTGCTCTGTTTTACCGGACACGTCATCATAGCGGTACAGATCAATGGGCAATGGTGTCTCATTAATGACAGCCTGCATGCTGGTGACTCGGAAACTGTTGTCATAGTTGTAGTCAAATCGGGCATTGACCATGCCTTCCTCACTGAAACGGAAGATCTGTCGGTCAATGAGTGGGCCGATCTGCCGGTACCGGATGGTGCAGGTGAAACCCTCACTCTGTAGACTGACTGTCTTCAGCATGCCTGCGGCCTCATCATACGAGAAAGCGACACGTGTGGTGTCGTACAGAATCTCAAGCAGACGGGAGAGCTTGCCGTACTTATAGATGATCCTACGTCCCGTGCCTTGGTGAATCGTCTGCAGAAGCAGGCCATCTTCAGTGTAATCCTGCAGCACAGTGGCATTGCCCTCAGGAGGCCTGTATGTGTTTCTATAGTAACCAATCGAGCGGGTAGTCTCTAGGGTCTGACGGGCCACGTTGGGCATAGTGACAGACGAGAGACGGTCGTTCTTGTCAAACTCAAAGATGTACTGTCGCTGGCTGTACAGCAACAGCACCATGGACTGCCGAGGAGAAAAATGACAAAGTGACACTCAGTATGCTTGAGTCAATGAAGCATGGTAATTTGTAGCACATTTCATAAAACTGCCTGAAAATGTTAAACCGTTAAATGTTAAATTCTCTGCCCAGCAGAAGTGAAGGTCAATGCAAGCCCAGGAGTCACATTACGCTATGCAACTAACTGCACAACAAACTGTGGGGTGTCACAGATTCACTTCAGGGGGTCTAAAAATTACAAATAGCTTCATGGCGTGCTGCAACACTGGCTGAGAAATGTTGCAGGGCAAATTCTCATTAACTGGTGATGAAACCATCACCCCCCACGCCTCCTGCCCCAATAATAGTACAAATAATATTAGTTAACATGGAGGTCAAGGGTAGAATGTCCTGGAGTGCATAATTTAATAGGACGCATTTTCTTCTTTTTTTCACTCCAACCTCTGTGAAAGGCAAATTTCACCCAAAACGCTTATGAGTGATACTTTCAAAACCCCCTGAAGGCTACTGGATTGGTACTGTCAGCATTTCAAGACTGTTAACAGGGTGAGTAGTTGCCATTTTCGAATCAAATGTAAAACCGCAGGTTTGCATTCCTTCCTAAAGATCTTCACTCTGAGCAGGAAAGTGACATTTTATTTCTTCTAACAGGGTGCTATTTTGGGTAGAACTATGCTGTCAAGCTGTCAGCAATAACATTGCATAATGTGAACAGAGTGAATCAGACAGCTTTAACTGTGGCAGGCTAAGTTAATACTCCATAATACAACACAAAGGCTCAGAACACTGATGGGTTAAAAGGGTCCTGAGTAATTGTACTTTATAAAGCAGGATAATTATTATCTTTATGCATGACTATAAAGGGTCCAAAGCTGTTTACCTTCTCAAGGTAAGTGTAGCTCCATGACTTGCCATCTGCAAATATCTGAGAAGTGATTCTTCCGTTCTGATCGTATTCCATTCGGACGGACATGGTGCCCCTTTGGATGCCAGCCACATGCCCACCAGGGGAGTATGTGACGTTGACCCCATTCAGTCGGCTACTTGGAGCCCATAGGGTGGGTCTGCCTGCAAGGTCATAATGAATCCTCAGAGTAAACTTCCTGTGGTCGTCATATACTTTCTCTGTTCGGGTGATGCGGTCAAAGTCCATGGACAGTAGGTTTCTGTTATGAACCTGTCGAAAAGAAATGGAACACAGATTTAATTCCAAATTTTCTGAAGGTGGCAAATAGCAGAATAAATCTCCTAATTCAGAGGCTGGAGCCAGTTAATCATCAAGGAACTCAGGATTACTTTAAATTTGCCATTGTGTTTTTCAATTATAACAGTGTGGTCCTATCTCTGAAGGCAGAAGCTACTGAAGTGGTGCTATTTAGATTTCTTTCCATATTTTTTGTGTTGCATGATTCAGAGAACAGAGAGTTGGTAGGAGTCCATCTGTCAGAGTGAAGAGAATAAGAGAGGTTTATTGATCATTATTATCACTCATCTTGCATTTAAGAAAATAATTAGCAGGAAGTAGAGGACTTTTCATTTTACTTTGTCATTTCCTCCAGTCAAGACTTGGGAGAAAGTCAGCGGCACTCCTGAGAGGAAGATGAGTCAAAGACTCACTACAGGACTCAAATGACACACCACACTGAGTTTCGGCTCATCTCTAATAGGTAAGGGCCTTTTAATCCCGGCACATGCTGAGATCAGAGAAGAGAGGCACTCGTAATCCACAGGGCACATCCGGGTCAGTGCAGAAGGAAAGAGAGAGGGGCAAAATTACTCACAGTCAGTCTTTGTCTACTAGCGCCATCCATCTAGTGAGGTGTGCTCCAGCGTCACATTACACTAGCATAGAAAGCCAGTGGAGCAGCAGCTACACAATGGGGGCTTAGGGAGCTCACTCCAAACACATTTAACCTATAATCCTGCAGAGGGTGAATTCAAGTTTGTCATACTTAATCTATCTCATATTTTTCTTTTACTGCGCAAGTTTTGTTGAGTAGTTTTCAAGGATCTGACTTGCTCCAGTTGCTTTTTCTGTGATGACTTTTTTATTGGGAGAATACATTCTATGTCACATCATAGCTGCCACATCAAAATTTCATGATTTTGTTCTGAAACTGTCTATGTTCTGAAATGCCCTTTTACACTGTGTGAGTGCATCTTTATATTAACTTACTTAACTTTTCATATGGTAACGTTCACATTAATGTACATAAAGTTAAGCACATTTTTCTTTGTGTTTCAGGAGGCTGACCAAAATGTTACGACAGCAGTACAATTCTTTCAAACAATTCACTTGTAAATGTCTCATGAAGTCATATTCTCACTGTCCTAACAAAACCATACATCTCCAAACTGGTAACTTTACAGGAATGCAAAAATGTCATTAAACTGTAAGTTCATGTAAATATATTTTATTTCAAGTAATTTTGGACCTTTTTGGTAATGGCAATAAGACTGCTGTTATGGATGGGAACAACAAATTTGCAGGTGTGCCGAACCTTAAATTTCACTCTCACAGGATGGGGGTTACAACAAAGTATCATGCATCTGGTATCCTCAAAGAAAATCCTCGAGAGAGAGAGAGTAAAAAAAAAAAAATGAGATGCACAAAACTCAGAATTCATATAACAACAATAACTAAATTCGCTTTGCACAGAGAAGCAATAATGTCTGACATAATAAACACATTCATGATTTCTTTCTATTATTCAGGCACTTATGCCTTCAGATTTAATAAGCACCTTTCATATATGGCAGTGATGGTTTCAGAAGATTTTAGATTTGTTTTCTTTCTCTTAGCTTTTGTTCTTTTTTTGAGGTCGAAATGCTTAGCAAACACCGTATAGTTAAGCTTATTGGACCATTATGATTTGTTTCTTGAAATAAATTAATTTATTCATTTATTTAATAATAAGATTTATTGAAAGTACATTTAAGCAGTCATTGTGGGTGGGCCAGTGGCAAAAGTGGGGGGCCTAGGCCCCCTGGGGCCTATCATACCACCACCACTCATCATAAAATGTTCACATAATGTAAAGTTCAGCTGCTGTGCTGAAATAATGTAGAAAAACAAGTTATACATGGTTTTGATATGATGGCGATTATATACATAACCACATAGTGATGATAACGGCACTTTTCAAATTATTCTACTTTTAAATAAGCAGTTCTTGCACGCCAATTCTGAGCTGTTGTCTGAAGAAGGTGGTCTAAATGACCATCTGGGAATTTTTTCCTAAAGAGCTGCGTAATGAAAGCATCATTTTCCTCAGACCCTCTCTCTTCAAAGCCGTGTCTCTCTGATTAAAGCAGGCTGATCACTCCAGGTACACCAGCACCCAGCTTGGCACGACTTAGCCAAAGTCTTAAAGCAGCTTTGTGGGCTGTTGTTGGCCGCCGTCCAGTGACACTGGAGGATGCTGGGAGGAATGGCTCGAAAGTGCTTTTGCTCCTCGCATGCTGGGAACCCTCGTCTGTGAAGGGACAATTATACCAGGGCCAATTAATGTCACTAATACCTAATTGAGAGGATTATTTTACATTAAAAGCAAGGAGCTTGTGAATAGGAGAATTCCCGGCAGGGGCGGCAGAAGACGAGATATGCTTTCTAACATCTCTTCCCCCTACTCCTGATGTGAGCAAGCCAATGCCCTGCAGTTCTCTTACTCTCCCTTTAGTAAGCTGCTTATCCTACAACAAAGACGGAGACCCATGCAAATGATCAAAGACCCAGATCAGAATGTGCCTTGGAAATACTCACAGGCAATCTTTGCATCATGTGATCTGCCCAAAAACATACCTGCCACTATTGACAGACTATCATATGGCAGTGAGAGTAAGACTTTCGGTGGAGAAGGTTGATGTTGAGTGAGGTCTGCTTTCAGAAGGTCTTCTTTTCCAAGGGCCTTCTAAATAGAACGCTGGATTTGTTTTGATGTAATAGAGAGGGAGAAAAAGGAGGGAGAGAGAGATGGAGAAGGCTGACTGCCCGTGCCAGGCTCTGGTTGAGCAGAGGCCCAACAGGCTGGAAAAAAAGCTCTTTTGGCAGAGAGATCTCAGGCCTCTAGAGAATGGAAACCCACTCAAGGGGAATGCTTTAAATTGGACATTCCTTAAAACAGGCTTGGCTTAGGCAAAGCAAAAGGGATATGAGAAGGATTTGGGTTGTGAAACACAAGCAAAGACTACTTTAAAATGAGCTAAAGAGATCAGGAACACAACAGAAGAGGGTAACTGATCAAAATGCGACACTTGTACGACGATGCAATTCTTTTTGTTTAACAACTATTTCCCATAATTACGAACAAGAGACCTAAGCTTTCTCAACTCTATGAATGAATATTAAAACAATCACTAACCCACGTCCTACAATTAAAAAACAATGCAAACAATGAAACATTTATTGCCAATCAATGTCGTTAACGTAACTGTCCCTCTCACCATTCAAAATTACGTGAAATCTGCAATTGTCTGTCATCTGTATTCTCGTTAAAGGCAAATTCCAGTTTTGTTTTGCAAGTCCAATATTTGCTTGTGCCTCTGCCTTCCATTCTGAACGTGTCCCTGCCGTCTCTCCGATAAGAACTGTAATCTTATTTGCTCAGTGTGATTTTTCGCTTCCTCGAGCAAACACGCATGCTGGTGTGTTTATCATGTCTGTTTGGAGGCGGTATAGGACACCGTTCTAGTAAACGCACACCAGAATATCCAAAGGACTGTCAATACGGGCTTTGTGTGCAAAGCTTTGAGGGCGGCTTTCCGGATGCGAGCGTTTTAGGAGCTTCACGCAGTGCGCAGCAGAGGGAGAATTTCCCCCATTACTCTCACAAAGCCCCGGGGCCGAGAGGTGGCCCGGTTGCCATGGAGAGCGGCACAACCACCGTGCCCTGGCAGCATAAGTCATGAGCTCTGCTAGGAGTACTGAGTCGCCACGGCGACAGGCACGTGGCACAGTAGCACAGGCATACACACACACACACACACACACATTATACACAAGTCCGGAGCTGCCACTGACCCGATTCTAGATCCCCATAGCATATACGCCTTGAAACAGCTCTTCTTACATTTCATGTACTGATTTCTCAGTCGTAACACTTCAAAACAAGCAGAGAAATTCTCCTTAAAGTGCAGTGAAATTCTGTCAAAAGTGTGGACTTTCAATCGATACTGCGTCCATGAGTAGAAGGACAGATCTTTTATTATGAATTTAAATTTGATGAAAAGCTACTGTATGTACAGTTTTGCTTTGCTGAATTAAACACAACCCTTTACATTACTGGCACATATAGTCCTTGTTTGACAACAAACTGAAAAAGAAGTGCAGATGCAAACCTGTCAATATAAACCAAATGTAATTAGTTGCATAAGTATGTAATAACTGTATAATTAACTATGTTAATATTCTTGCCCTGTTTTTGTTTCATTTTAATGCTGAAGTGGAAAAACGTCAGAAGCACAAACTTGTGAGGGATGTTAATGCAATAAATTATTAATAACATTTTTTTTGTAATGCTTTAATTAATTAATCATCACATATGAATAGTTTTTTATGTAAACTGAATGGAAATAAAGTGACAGTAACTCTAGGCTTCTTGGTGTTGAGGACATGGGAAAGTGAGCACATGGATAGATGTGTATGTGTGTGTGTGTGTGTGTATTCGGAATCGTGCTGCTTACACAGGCAGTCCGAATCAGAGATCTCTTTCTGTATCTTACCCTCCACTGACTGTCTAGTCCTCATCTCGCCCTAACAGACACTCAGGCGCACACTGCCCCACCCTCACACCCACACTCACACTCATACATCGTCACCCACCCAGTCACCCATGTAATTTGACACAATGTCATTTGACATGGCACTCAAGGTTACTTAATGATTCCAGCGAGGTCCATCTCTCTGTTCTCACCATTAGACTGCTCTCATTTCTAAATGCACACACCCTGAGGCCCTCCACCTATTCCACACATTGTCTTTCGCCCTTCCAAACAGGAGACAGGGATCCTTGCGACTGACTGTCCACCACTCTGGCTGGATTTACAAAACTTTCCTGCAGCCTTAACCCTGGATCAACCTCGTTTACATAAACACCAGAGCTAGAGGAAACAGAAACACACAGGCTGGATACATTGGAAAGCAATTTATGCTGAATAAATCTAGATTGTCACTGTGCCATGGTTCAGATCACAAATGGGTCATCTTTCGATGGAAGCAGTGATGGGAGGCAGCCGATGTGGTTTTCCCATCACCTTGCTGTTATTACCGCATGAGCCAAGCTGCGTGGCAACAGGGCAGATGATTGGTTCTGTTACTACTGGGGTTGTAGTAATTATTTGATGAATTCAATGACACTGATTCTGAAAAAACTGACACAAATTTATACTTTTAACAAGAAAACTCTATGATGGTTAATAATATACATATAATACATGTGGACATACTGACAGATTTCAATATAAGAAGTGTTGAAAAAGATTTGGCTTCTAAAGCTTCTAGGTTTTTTGCACTATAACAGAAGAAATGGAGCAACCTGCTAAAGTTGGATCTATCATTAGAAAATTATGAGCGTGATCTCAGCGATGCCACATCTGCCACAGCTGTCAAAAATTGTCAGATAGAGGAAATCTAGCTGGTGGGAAGAAACGGACATGACTAAATTGGGTGAAAAAAAAGAAGAAATTGCATGTTTTGAATGATGACATCAGCAAAGGGAGAAGAATAAAAGAAGGCAAGGCCCAGAATGTCCAAAGTGTGGGAATTTTTCACCCACAGAAGTGGTAAAATACAGCATATCGTTGGTGCCATAACAAAACCTCACAACCCTCAAATCCTAAATTGACAGCAGAGGGAAAAAATGTTTTTAATCAAAGTAATTTTAGACTAGTTGGACTATTTCTGTTGGTCCATTTGTCAGAGACCAATGGAGTTACAAGGTTTTGATATGACACTGATGAAATGAGAAGCAAATATGTTGTTTCCCACCTGAACATTAATTACATGTGAACATTTAAAATGAAACGACCCATGTTACAGTGCATATTCTGCCAATATCAGTTTCAATGGAGCTGAAGTGACACAACTCAGTGCCCCTTCCACTTGCGCTCAATAAGGCCAGTGGCTAAAACACGGCTTGTAGTGGTATTCGCACTCCTGCGGTGAATTCTACACAATCGGAGCTGTGCTACAGTCAGTAGACGGATGGAGATGTCAGAGTGGTACAGTGAGGAAAGCCTCTGGGTTTCATTCATCAGGGGAGTCATCACTGCCCCAGGCATTGACCTAGCCCTCAGGGTCACAAAGCAAGATGCCATAGCATGACGGATTGACCGCTGAGCCGCACACACACGCATTACACACAACCTGACCTTGGCAGACGGCTCTGAGACTGCTGGGGCTGGGTCAGAGCACCACAGTGCAGCCATTAAAATGGTTATCATTCTAAAAGACAGGTGCACTGCATGGGCCTCTTCAATAATGTCCATGAGTGCGGAGACTAGGCTAGAGAGATTATAATCAAGAGGCAATTACACCCAGAACAGGGACTTAGATGAGTCACTGCCTCTCCAAGAAATGGAGTCGGAGCTGTGTGAAGTTAACCCAGCCAACGCCGAGACAGCACGGCCATGCAATTACTGTTCTCTGTTAGAGCTTGACTGCCAGACTGGGTTTGAGGGGTGTGTGTTTATGTTTCTGTGTTTGCCAGGCCACACTGGGCACTGTCTTTATGTGTGAAGGGGGTGTGGGCATGTACCATGCCTCAGGGATTTATGATGATGTGTGTGGACATAAACAGGGATTGTATCCCTTTTGATTGTGTGGGCAGAGAAGAGTAAATCTAAACAAGTGCTTGTGTAACGTGTATGTGTCTGTCACTGTCTCCCAGAGGAAGAAAGCTTGTGCCCATGGATATGTTTTCTTCCTTGCAAATGCATACGATGAACGTTCACACATTCACATATGTTTGATATATATATATGAGTACACATATTCAGAATAGGTGCATCAGCTGTAACATGCATTTATGTTTGTGTCTCTGCTCCTGTATAATTTTTGTGAATTTAGTTATTTATTCTTATAGACTATTGTGAAACATTTCCAGTCAAAACGTCCATATTTTTTGGAAACAATGTCCTGTAGGAAAGCCAAAGACTAACCTGCCTTTTTAACTCAATGCATTCATAATTCAACAAATACAGGGCATAGAGTACTGCGCAAAAGGCACAGACCACAATTTCGTGTATTTAAGTACAAGTTATTCATTTTTCAGGAGATATTTCTGAGAAGATTAGATATAATGGGGAAAGGGGATAAAATACAGGAGTTTTCAGAAATGTGACCATCAGACAGACGATTCTTAAAGCTTTCCTTTTTAAGAGAAAGGAGAAAATCAGGCTCTACTTCTGCTTCAGCTCTGAGAAAAGTCACAGGTTTTTCCATCCTACTACTTTGAGAAGACAACTTATCGCTATGGGTCAGAATGGTCGTGTAGCTGTCAAGAAGCTCTTACTGAGAAAAAGAAAATAGAAAAAAACTGGTGTTGCTGGTTTTTTACAGAACAATGGACTGGCAACTTCAGAGCCCAAAACTCAATCTTTGACTGACTTTCTTGATAGATAAATTTCCTATCTAAACTGAAAGCAAGTCTCCCAAAAGAATGGAAGTTGTAATAAAGGTAATGACTGGACACACTAAATATTGAAAAAAAAAAAAAATCAACTTTCCATTAACTACGCTACCTGCTTTTTCCTGACACTGAAAAATAAATAACTTGTATTTAATGGACGTTTTGACTGGAAATTTTCACAATAGTCTATAAGAAAAAGCAACAAATTCAGCATGGGTACTCAAGTACAGTATGGCTCACTTGGCAATGGAATTAGTGACAAAATGCATCATCACAGATCTGTAACTGTACTGCACCGTCTGGTGGAAAAGCGCCTCTATATGACCTCACATCTTTACAAGATATAAAAATAAATGTGTGTATGTTAGAGTGTGAAACTCACCCTCAGTCTGCGTCCGTATACAGTCACTTGTCCCCTGGCTTGCTCTTTCCGCTGCCTCCACTCCACCAAGTTGAGGCCATTGTCTATGGGCAGCGTGACGTTCCTCTTGCTGACTGTTGGGTTGACCGTGCCTGAGAGTAGATGGGGTTCTGTATGCAGGGACACCTCCATGCCATTAGCCAGAACCAACCGCAGAGAGCCATCCAGCCCAATGTAGTAACTGTTCTTTACTTGTTCTGTGATGGGTAAAGAGGATGAAGATCAGTCAATAACATTTGCACTACTTTTACACAAACCTGTTTCTCAGACTAGAAAAAAATCATAAGAACTTAACCCTCTCAGACCTAACACATACATACATAACCTTACATAATACATTCAGACATGCTGGATTTGTCCTCTTTAACTCATCAACATCTGCTATGTGCATGTCCACAGGCTGTATGCATGTCCACAGTGGGCACAGCAAAATCTGTGGTAGTTGATTATAATAATTGTGGTTATTGATTTGTTTTTAAGTTAAAATAAAAGGCCACTAAACTGTAGAATATATTCCCTTTCATATGTTTTCCAGCTCAAAAAGGTAAAGTGTGACACAAAAATCTACACATTTTCAGATTTGCTAGATCATGAAGAAATGCGGATTTCTTTGAAAAACTGAAAGTAAGTCTCCAGAAAAGAATGGAAGCTGTAATAAAGGTAAAGTGTGGTATGCTAAATACTGAACATTTTTATGTTTCGTCTTTCAGGCTTCTGTGCAATTTTCTGTTAAATATGTTTTCTGTTTTTTTTTCCTGATGCTGAAAAATAAATAACTTGTACTTCATGGTAGTTTTGATTGGAAACTGAATGAAGGATGGTCTCTGACTTTTGCACAATACTGTATAAATTATTGAATGATGTGACACGGCATGGTATATTTAGTAATACAAATCCTGAACTATCTGCACACTGGCTGAGCATCTGTGCTAGTTTCCCATCACACGATGACACCTGTGAACGTAGGTAGAGTTCTCTGGAGGTTGTGTGGAGGTTACATGATTTGATACTGTAAGCAAAGAACAGGGGCACAAAGCATGTTGATGTTGGGCGCTGTAAATTTCATCAAACTGTGGTACTTCGGGTAGAAGCTTATTATTGGTTTATTTTATCAGGCTTACTATAAAAGGCCATTAACCCCTTAAAAGGCCAGGGCGCACCGGCATGCCCAAAGTTTTATTACACAATTCTGTAACCTAAGAATAGCTCAGAGCGTTTGCATCTCTGCAGTTCGTGAATAATAAGGCTTAGTATGTAATAAGCCATTATAAGCCCTTAGTATATATAAGGCTTATTATTCACTTTTAAGGGGTTAAATTGTGAAATATATTTCAATTCATGTGTTTTCTTGCTCCAAAGAGTAATCTGGGACACAAAAATCTACAGATTTTCAGCCTTGTTAGATGATGTTCTTTACATTTCAGCTAAAAGCACTGAGAAATCATGTTCTTTTCAAGGAGAAACGAAGATTAAATGAAATAGCGGTATTTTGCATAGACCTTAAACGGTTAATGAGTTGTTTTGCTGAACAAAGCCTTGATACTGAGACAGTCCAAGAAAGTGAGTAACTCTAGAAAGCCCTGCAGAAGCAAAGCCTCAGTGCTTTGGCAGTCCAAGGACACACAGAGCGATAGAGAGAGAGAGAGAGAGAGAGAGAGAGAGAGAGAGAGAGAGAGAGAGAGAAAGAGACTATCAGGGTCGAGAGTATACATCTATGGCCATGGAAGGCCACTGATGAATCTACAGCTCTGTTCCCTGATGGTCTGCTGGCAAATTTCAGAGGCAGAGAGTTGGGGAGAGAAAGAAAGAAAGAGAGAGAGCGAGAGAGAGAGAGAGAGAGAGAGAGAGAGAGAGAGAGAGTTCTGAAAAGAATGACAGGAGAAGAGCATTTAATAGCACATATAAGACAGAAAAAATAAAAGAAACAAGGCAAGTAAAAATGGCGAAGGGCAGCGCAGCAATGCCACCACTGCAGTACACAAGTAAGCGTCAGTCAGCACTTTAACAAGGCCCACCATGAATAAAACTCTCATTACCGGCCGCTGTGAATTAATGACTTGTCGAGAGCCGCGCTAATTATGCATCAGCGCTCAATCTAAAACACACAGGACTCTGCAGCTAGCTTTCCTTCCCTTCTGAAAACACATGCGTTTGTGAATCTTATGTAAACTAAGAGCGACAAGCTCTTTATTTTATTCTATGATAATGCTAAAAATAAGAGGGAAAAAAGAAGGGCCACTTCATGAGTTGTCCACTCACATTAATGTAAGAATGGCTGAAGTAACGATGAAGGTCTGTTTCTGTGGTAATACTGCACGTTACATAAGTCTATCCCTGCATTAGTAAGAGGAACCTGTATGAACTCTGAGTCTGAAGCAGACAGGGTGAGGAGGGAGGCTGAACCTGAAGGCAGGTCGAGCTGCAGTTATGTAGTAAACATCTTTAAAACTCTGCATAAGTTTCTCTCTTCTTTCAGAATTGGGAGAACCTGTTTTTATAGCCTTATTTACTTTCTAGGGAAACAGGAAAAAGCAGAAACATTTATTTTAGAGAAAATTACCTCAACAACAGGCCTCAACAACTAAATATTTTTTTCATATTAAGTGTGTCCACTCTCTGCACTTATTACAGCTTCTGTTCTATTCAACAGAAATCTGCAGGGATATTTTTCCACACCTCCAAAGTTCAGCCTGGATGTATTTTTTGCTTGCTAGGGTGGTCAGCTGTAAGTACTGTTTATCTGATAGTGACAGTTTTGGTGGTCTACCAGGTCTACCAGAGCCCCATGGGTGTTAGGAGTTTCTTTAAAATTTTTAATAATTGTTTTTGAAATCCAATTTTGGAATATCCTGTTGTTTTTTATTTAATGCCCCTTGACTTTCCCCTTCCTTATGCAAAGGGATTATTTTATATCTAATCTCCTCAGGAATATCTCCTGAAAAACAAACTTGCTTTAGGGTGGTCTATGACTTTTGCACAGTAATATAAAATAACAAAAAAAAAATATAATAACAGTTATTCATAACTTGTGAATAATAGCATAGCCACCTACACAGCATACACACACCCGTCCAGCTCACACTCCCACACCCACCGTCTCACCCACACACTCGCTTGACTTGGCAATATATACCACAAGGTCAGCGTTTTTGAGAAATGTATATCCAAGTTTTCAGCGCCCATTTACAAAGCAGACAAGAGTGAATTAATTAGCGACAAAGCATGGCTCTGCGCCCCCTTTCCCACTGTCACTTCCTCTCTCTCTCTACAGCAGATGTCCACCACAAGGTCATCATTTTGAACTGACTGTTAGTTCCACCCAGTGCTAACAATACTAAAACATACACCCACGCACGGTCTCTCAGGTGCAGCTATCTGTCAGAGGGACCAATCGAAATACGGGGGAGGGGCAGCATTTCAAATCAAGCGCTCACGAGAGCACAGAGAAATCATTACAGCTTCTGAGTATGCTGAGGGGGCAGGGGGAGTTCAAAGCTGAATATAGGGAATCGATGGAGCTGCTGGTCAGCCGCAAAACAGGACATCAAAATGCCAAAGTATGCAAGAAAAATCACAGGCCTGGGCTCGAGGCCCATGACCTCGGACACGCCCCTCTGTCCTCAGGCCAGACTGATTAAGATTGGATTTCCTACAGCAGACAGGAGCACCCGGCCCAGTCTCATACACAAAAGCCAGGGACAGGAAATCAATAGCTACTTTTATCTTTATGAGTGACATGTGTTCTCTGAATTACCAACAAAGCAAAGACCAGCGGGCATCTGTTTGTGTTCATTTCACTGATCTAAGGCATGTTTCTAACCAAGGCTGTTGCCTCCAGTTGCATACTGTCCAATTTGTATAAATAGTAACTGTATGGGAAAAAACTGTTCTTAACTTTAATGTATATTAATACAATGAGATTCTATTCCAAGACATTTTGAACAGTTCTCATTAATCCACTAATCATGAGATGTTCACACATCATGAACAGCAGCTGGAGCTATCAAATGGTGTAAAACCACTGCATAACACAAACCACTTACCCCATGCACATAGAACTTAATAGCACAAAACTGAACTGTTTGGTCTCTGTGGTTCTCAGACAAAACAGTTCTTTCAGTCTTTTGTCTGAGCTCATTTCACTATTCAAAATTCCTGTGGTGGAATAAGCACAAAATTGAAGGTGGGATAAGCACAAAATTGAAGACCACCACTGTTCCCAGAGTCTTTAGTCTGCCCTCATATTGTCAGAACAAATTTCATTCACTGCTCAAAATCCCTGTGTAATGCAATCTAGATATCATTGCCATTATTTTTATACTATAAGGAATTTTACATCTCCAGTCGTCTGAAAGACAATGTTCAGAAACTGTTGGAAAATACTGAACTTCAATTAGAAAAATGCTATTCTGGTACTGCTGTAGGTGCTGTAGGATATTAATGAGATCCAACAGCTATGTGAATGATTCTCAGACTCACACAAGGCTAACTAGCAATTAAAGTAGTCACCTGGTGAAACGACCAAGACAATGAATTGTAACCATGTCAATGGTGTCAGTGCAGCATATGAGAGTGGTATGCTGACAATTTTTTCTGAGAATAAATAAACTACTAATTAAAATAAACTATTGTAGCATAGCAGGTGGCGCGGTGGTGCAGTGTGTAGTGCTGTCACCTCACAGCAAGGGTTCAATTCCCTGGCCGGGAGACCAGGGTCCTTTTGTGTGGAGTTTGCATGTTCTTCCCGTGTTTGTGTGGGTTTCCTCTGGGTGCAGTCAAGCCAATTAGAGATGATAAATGCCCCTAGATGTGAAATATATGTGTCTGTCCTGTGATGGACTGGTGACCTGTCCAGGGTGTTTCCTGCCTTCTGCCCAATGATTGCTGGGATAGGTTCTAGCGACCCAGGAGAATAAGCGGCTTAAATGTGTGTGTGTTTGTGTGCATTCTACCACAGCATAAATATGCATGTTCCTACATGCAGCTGAGACACCTACCTTGCATGAGCGTGTAGAAGGTTCCGGAGGCCGAGAGGTTGGTTGTGACGATGATGTCTTCTTTGTTGGAGCCTTCAGCCTGCACACGCACTGCATTGTCAGCATCTGTGCGGTAACTGCTCACCCTGCCTGTGGGGTAGGTCACGTTCGTCAGTCGCCCGTAACTGTCATACCTGCAGAGAGGTAGGAGGGTTAGAGGTCACAGTATTGCTTTAGGAAGAGAAATATAAGGCATTGGCAATATCAGAGCAGCAGTAGAGGTGTACCTTCCAATCCCTCTCTCATTCTAAACAAAACGGCTTTAAACTTCTGATTGGTTTGGTTTTAACACTTTTTACTGATCCACTGTAGATGCTATTAACCTAGCTATCACCAACAATTAAAAAGCATGTTGTAATTTGATACGGATTATCTTTCTATCTGATAATCCATACTGTATTTCTGTAAATAAGACTATTAATTATGATTTGAATTTGGTATACGTTTGTGGTTGAACATATCATCTTGTTTTGTCGAAAGATAAACTATCCTTTGTCAAGTTTTTGGAATTTATCAACATCAAAAAAGATGAAAAAAGTTAATACAGAATGGAAATGAAAATTATTGAGTGATCGACTGAGCAATTAAATTGCTCACATAATTAAATATGTAATTATGAATAGGTGCAGCAAAATACTCACTTTAATTTTCTTAAATCAAAACCTAAACCTAATCCTAAATGTAACCCTGATCCTACCTAGTGCAGTACATTAGATAGTTTATACTGATTTTATACTTTTTTTTCTGGTAAAACAAGGCTGAACAAGATGAGTAAGACTAAACAATTTTCATTTCCAAAATGAGACACTGTAGCCTTGGACACAGACTACATGAGAATTCTAGGGGTGAGCTTGGTTTACCACAGTCCTCCTTACTGAGCTGCCAACCAACTGCAGCACAATAAACAGTAACACAGCTGATCAAATGCCTTTTGTCGTCTCCAGGCAAACCACAACAGAGCGAGCACTCTTTCAGCCCTGCCAGTCCCCCAACATCATGAGTGAGCGCATCTACTGGAAGACTTTTATCAGCAGCGTGATTGAAGCCTGTAGAGCTCTCACCAACGTGCCTCGTCTCTCTAATAACATTCAAAACACAAGTGATAGCTGCAGCTGGTCCACAGCGCCGGCCCCTCCCCTCCTGCCTCTGCCTGGCAGAAATGAAAGACAGGAGCGGCCGAGCTGATACTGAGAGAAATCTGATCTGATTTAGGGGTAAAGACTTCAGAGATATGTGGAGAGTTCTCGGGAGAAAACACACAGTGTGGTATTAAAGCTCAGAATGAGGCTGCCCTCTTTTATTTCCACGAGCGGAGGTAATCAGCGATAAAAGACTGGGCCACAGCATGACTTTTGCTTATCTAACTTGATTGAAAAGAAACGCTGAAGATGAGATAAGGAAGAAGACTCCTAGGTGTCTCCAATCCACTCAGTGTAAAAGAAAGGTTCACCAGTTTTTCACATTTAAATATATACTAGCTCTGAGGGAAGTCAGCAGATGAGAGTAAGGATAACTCTGGAGCTGCCTGTCCTGAGGATATTAACGTTACGGAAATGTGTTAGGCCTACATTTTGGCCCAATTCCCTACAAGGATAAGACAAATAAGCAAGCTACAGTACCATAAGCCAAAAACCCAACCTAACAAATGAGCTGAAACTTTAGAAAGCTAAGCCCCCCTACCAGTTAAAACACTGCCTGTCAAAAGTTTGGTTTGGTTTACTTTTGAAAATTTCTAACTCTTATTCTTGAATCAAGGAAGAAGAAAAAAACACCACTGTTCAATAGTACAAACTCTATATGCAGTTTAGACTGAAATACTATAAGCTAGACACCAGAACTTCTGAGAAATTCATACTTCAGGTTTTCTGGGAACAGCAGGAACTTATTACACAATTAATAATATACTGTAATTATCCATCTTAAGATCACCACTTTGCAAAATATAAGTAATAAAGTTTTCTCAGTCATTAAGTTATCATCTTAAAGTTGTAGTCTTATAGCATCAAAATATACGTTTCTGGGAATATTTATGTTCATCAAAATGTTTTCCTTGATATGAAGAACAGGTTTTGCCAAAATAATGATTTGACAGTTTCTTTTTTTAAACTATTGTTAAAAGCACAGCTTGTTACTCTTTTAGCCCAAAGGTGGTCTAAACACCAGAAAGATTTGAGTGTTGATGAGTGCTGACATCACAACAAAGAGATAACTTATGTGGTGTTTTGCATTAGGCCCAAGAATTCACTGTCAAAATTCTGTTTGTTATTTAAACACAATTGTTTTCCTCAAAATAAATGTAGTTAGTCTTTAATATACCACATAACAAAACAAAACATCAGGTTCATTTGTATTTGCATTTTACCAATATAATATACATTGAATAGATATATTATTTATTGAATATATATAGATGTTCACAAGACAATTTATAAGCATCCAAGTTGGCCGGAATTGCAGCAATGGCTGTGCATGACTGTGGCAAAACTGACAGGCAAGATATAAATAGTTGAGAAGTGAGGTTTTACTTTAAATGGTAATGGAATGGGAAAGACGCACTTTCTGCTGAAGACTATTTCCATGTCAGCATGAATACATTAGCAGTCAGTACAGTGACAGAGTAACTTTGTGCTGGGAGAAAAGTACAATCAAAGTATCTTTTTAAAGCAGCAAACCACACTGTGCTGTGATTACTGACCCCCAGAGTCTCCTGAAAAAAAGAGACTGACATCAGGGTGTGTGCAAACACACAAAACACAGCCCTGATAACTTCAACCTGCTCATACTGAGACACCTGTTAGTGTCTTCAAAGCAGACTGAGGGGAACACAAAGGGGGATGAGATAGAGGCACAAAAAAAAGAAAAAGAGAGAAAGCACCTGTGGTTCTTTTAGAAAACCCATATTTCCACTTGAACCCTTTCACAGAACAGTCACAAGAATGACCTCTGACTCTTCTCTCTCTGTTTTGCTGCTGGACTGCCTGCCTGCCTGCCCATCCCCTGCGTACCAGACATGCTGACCACATTTTCATTTGAACTGTTAATAAAGCTAAACATTAGCCATTCACTTTCGCAGCAAGAACTCAACAAAGACTTCAGAACTCCATTACGGTGACAAAAACACATCTGCAATCCCCACAGTACAGCAAGATTCCAATAAAGCGTAATGGAGGGGACAGCTCAGCAGATGTCTTTGTTATGTTTGCCTCTGCTGCTTTGCATACAGGCTCACCACAAATCCTAGCTGACGTAACTAGTGTGCGTCCTCAGGCTAGCGCGCCTCAGAGGGACTTAATGAATTCAGGTGGTGGCTATGATAAACCACCAGGGCCTGTACTGTACGCAGGTTGGAGTGCGTAGATAAATAGTGAGGTCTGTTCTGTTGGCATATTATGACTTTGACCCCTCGGGTGGCAATATAACCTTCAAAGCTAATTATAAAAAATAATAATAAATTAATCATTAAAAAACTAAAAACTAAAAAGCTAGCTTTCTTTATTACAAAGACCACTCTGTGGCGCTTGAAGGGAGAGAAAGCCTGAGTTGAATCTAACTGCTTAGAAAAGCTCGGGGAGTGAACCATTTCTAATGTTAATTATTGTTTTTTTTTTACCTCTAATAGCAATTATTGAGCTAAAGCACTTCTTATGCCAGTTGTTCATTTGGTGAAAGGGGATTAAACAAATGATATGACAGCATGAGTTCTGATAAGACGTAGTGGGGGGGAGACAAAAAGGTGTAATTGCTTTTAGACTATTTTCAATTTATTTGAACAAGAGGAGAAAAATACAGACTGGAGGCGTATTCACTTCTAGTTATAAAGGGTCATTTTCCGCTCCTTACCAAATATGTTTTTGCCACGTGCGCTAAAAAGACATGCCTGAGTACACCATTGAGGGGAATGAGGACAGACAACAGTCGAGGCTGTTTTGTTCCAAAAACCTCATGCCAGGCTAGCAAAGAAAGGGAACAACACAAGTGACAGACATCCACTTTCAAGCAGACCTTGAAGGAAAGGACGAGATGTTCTGGCTCTCATAATGGAAGGGGCTGCTGTTAGGTTTGCGAGATGCAAAGGCTCTATAGAGATCTACTGTTTCCGTGGGCATATTGAAAAAATACTGTTTTGCACAATCCAGTTTGATGGAAAATAATGCATGGCGTCGTGTCTTGTACACGATGGCTTAGATGCATTCATCTGAGCTGTATCATCTGTAAGTATCTGATGGTGATCATACAGCTAAAGAGGAGGGAAACTCAGCTTATACACAACATGGCCAAATGTGAAATTGCAGATTACAGCTTATATTATATATTCAATGTTCCTTAAGACGTTCAAATTAAATTATAGCTCATTATTTGAAGCTAACATACAGCAAAACGCTAATTAAAAATCTTGAACAGAAGCCACGATGGTGCTTCACTGAAGTTGCTCATTCTTGACAGTGCAAATGAAAAAATATTGTGAAGAGTTTTGCCTGCAATAGGGAATTTCAAAATAGTGCTGTGGCAGTACTTTGCATATCCTGAGCCTGATACCTGCAAGCACTCCAGTACATTACAATGAAGACGAATGCAAAATTCGAACTCTGCATTTCTGCTTTCTCAATCGGCTAAAGACGGATAGAAAATGACTTTCTTAGAAACAGCTCCTGAATGTTCTCCCTGTTCCCTCAGTATAAAAGGTAACCATGAGTAAGCACTTGAAAATTCTCACACGTTGGTGTGGATGAAAAAAGTGAAGGGCAGAAATACATCAGAATCCCTGAATACAAAGCGTTCTGGAACTACCTGTCCTTGTCTGAGGTAAATTAGTAACCCACAACACTTCCCCTGCTTACAACTAGAATTAACTGACCATACTTGTTTAACCATGTCCCAGTTTCACTCGTGGACCTTTATGATCCATTACTGTAGCCATGGCAACTTGAGCCATGGACAAATCTCTGTGTAAAGCATGGTCTAGCTGCAGAATCCCGCTGTCTACACAGTGTAATTACCGAAGCGCTCTAATTTACCAATAGTCAGTTTCTATTTAAGTTAAAAATGTTAATGGTAATAAAACATTTAGATGTGATGTGAAAGACCATTACTTACTCATAGAAAGTGGTCCATCCATCTTCATTGCTCTTTGTTGCCAGCAGTCCTGAGCTTCCATGGTAGGTCATCATTGCTAGTTCTTGACCTTGGGCAGCAACACTCTTGAGTGCATTATTAGTGCCGATAGTAAACCAGAAGGTCTGGCCATCAGGGGCCATGATCCAGAGGGGCAGCCCTGTAGTGTCCCTGCGAATGGTCACTTTGTTCTTGTTCTTGTCTGTGACAGTGCTCAGGTCACCCTCTCCAGAATAGGTCAGGTTGTACAGGTAGTCACCAGTGGTCAGACTCTGGGTGTAGATGTGGCTTCCATTGGCATCAAACAGGTAGAGTTCATCATCAATAGGTGATGACACCTCATACATGTTGAGCGGGTTAAGATAAGGCTTGTTTCGGCGTACATAACGGATGCGAATGTTGCCAAGGTCAGCAATGAAGAGCTCACCGTTAGGTGAGACCGCCAGAGAGGAGGGAGAGTTGAGTTTTGCGTCTTTGGCGTAGCCATCGTCACCTGAGTAGCAGTCACAGTTTGCATCATTCTTGCAGTCGCAGCCACTAGGGGCGCCTGCGACCAATGAGATTTCACCATTGGTCGAAACCTGACGCACACGGTTGATCTTCTTGTCGTCAGATTCGGCAATGTAGAGGATGCCGTTGTGGGACACGGCCAAGGCGGTGGCGGATTCCAGCGTGGCGTGGATTGCAACCTTGCTGACCAAAAAGTGGTCTAGGCCAGGCACCTGGCAGTGCATGGGCCGACCGGCAACTATCCTCACTTGATGGTTCTCCGATATCTGCAGTACCACGTTGTTGTCCAGCACATACAGGGAATTGTCCATTGGACTCACAGCTAGGTCAGTGGGCCATTCCAGACGCACCTGTAAAGAAACAAGAAAAGCGACCATCATTACTTTGTGACTCAAAAGTAAACAAACTGTTCCTAATTTTTCCATTCAGGGAAAAATTTCTATGGAGGGAGCTAAATTACACAGCAATAGCTGAAAACTGTTTGCAGGTCAGATATGCCTAGAAAAAGTAATTGAATTAAGCCCAGACTATTTTTCTACCCTGCCTTTGTGGACTCGGGTGCTGATTATCTGATAGTGAGGAGAGGAAATCACTAGTTATGCTGAAGCTAAGAGTAAGGACATAAAAAACACCTGACGATTTTTCAGATCCACAGCGATAAGAAGCTGCGGAGGATGAATAGGAACGGAGGAGTGGAACCAAATCAAATGATCAGATTAAACCCAAGCAGCAGGGAAGCATTGATCATGTGGACTCTGGACACCCAAACAGGACTGCAGCACATCCGTCAACTCAACCTGTGGATGTCTTTTCCCTGCACTGTGTTATTCATTATAAAATAAAAAAAGAGACTAGAGGCAAGGTCCTCAAGAGCAAGAACCAGTGCACAACAGAAAAACATTACTCACCTCCCAGCCTAGCGAATTATGACTTGTTGTTCAGCAAACAATGTAAAAGACTTTCAACAAATAGAAATTACCCAATATAGCTAATGTGCACACAGCCCCTTTGGTTGGGGTGAACCCTGAGTACTCTCTTAGGGAATAGATTATGAAAGGTCTTATTTCAGTAGTCGTCCTGGCACAGTAACAAGGCTGCTTGATTAAAAGATGCTTTTAATGTAGTGGGAGAAAAAAAAGCAAAACAAGCTGCCATGCTGTGTAGTCTATTAAAAGAAGACCTTGAAAGCAGCCAATTGATTTGCTTACATCAAATGGGACACATCCATTTTTCACAGACTTGTGAAACAAAATGGAAAGGTGGCACTGTACCACACTATCAGCAAAGTCTAGCTAATCTCCAAAATGGTTTTCACAAACTAAACTGACCCAGGGCATATTAAAGAAACCATAATACAATTGTTCACAGGATGACCTGAATAAAAATCACTTTGTATCACAGAAGCTGGCAAACATCTATGGACCCTTTAAGAGGTTTAATTCTGCCACCAGTGGAATCACATGTACATCTACGTAGTCCACAGTAAAATAGATCAACATATAGAACTGAGGCTGTCTGTGTGCTACTATGTTTTCTATCATTATATCAAAGATGCACATGGTTGCCTTTATTATTGGATGCCCTATGATTTGTGAGAATGCATGCTGATACAGAGCACAGTTCGGATTGGTAAGCGCTTATTACTGATCTGTTTATTACTTATGAGTAATGATGAAATGATAAAATAACAACATAATGCTATTGGTGTGTGACTTAGAGAGCTTTTCTTGGGTTATACCAGTGTGTAATAAATCTTTTTGCCCACTGGCAGGCCCTGGCTGTGTAAGGGGTTAAAGCGTTAATTGTTAAACATAAATGTAAACACTGATCAAAAGGCTTGGTGTATGGCTTTTATTATATGTATTTCACTAATATGTAATTACCCACATTTGTGCATTCATAGTATTTTTATTCTAAATTGTATCAAAATAAGCAAATCGAATTGTTGTGAAATCTAAGATTTCATGCTGCACTGAATCATTTCCTAAAGAATCACCTCCTGTTTTGCAAAACTGCTCTGGGTCCTGGTGTGTGTGAACAGTAAAGTTCTCCCAGTATGAGCTACGAACACGAACAAACATAGTAACACAAGCAACACTCCCATGTACTGTAACTTCAGGCCACCCCTATGTGTTGGTGTATCTGTTAACAAAGCAGTGGGCTTTTTGTAATAAATCTAGTCCCAGTGCTTCTGTCCACTTCTACAGCTAGCAGGGAAATGCCTTCACTCTCTGTGAGCAACCACATTTACTCAGGAATGAGGAGGGGGACCTTTCTTAAAACCTATTTCTTGTCAACAGACTCAGCTGAATATTTCATGAGAATAAGTGTGTGTGTGGTAGACAGCATGCGTGTGTGGAGAATTCAGTGCAAAAATGTGCATATGGTTTGCATGTTGATGTAAGGTACTCCCCGCCCTCACACATACACAGATGCATATATAGACTTCATCCACACACACATGTATCGCTGCTGTGTCCAACAAAACTCCATTTTCGCCATTTTTCATTTTTTGATATAATTTGAAAATGCCTGTTGTTCTTTACATTTTATGTAAATTTCATGGTAAATCGACCAAAAAAGCCCAGAATGACTGAAAAAAGTCTGGTTCCATTGTTTTACATTTAAAGTAAAGTAAGTTTTTTTTCCTTGTCCAATTTGACATTCAAATTTGTAAAGCACATTAAAAATATTCAAACAATACCATCCTGTATTATAATAAACACAGACCACACATCCATAGTACATGTCATGGCTTGGAATTTACACACAGAAAAATGTCAATCTGAATTTTTATGATAAACACACTAATGCTAATCGTTTGTTACCTCAGCTATGTCGTTAGCTTATTTCACTTTGTACCCTTTCTTGCTCAACAGCGAACTTGTGCTGATACACAACCTGATAATTTCTCTAATTCATGAAGAATGTTTTTTATTCCATGAAATTTGTGAGTGGTGTGTAAAATCTGGCTTAGGCTTGAGCCTATCTGTGCAGCACCATGCTTCTGGTTTGGTGTGTGTGGGCCGTTAGCCACCTGCAGTAGTCTATGTCTCTACTCAAAAATGTTTTCTAGGTTTCTACACTGTCCTCTGGTGGGGTCAAATGTTCAGATATGTCATGAGCTGGTACTAATGTGTGTTTATGTATTCTTTTAGCCCACACAGTGTGAACTTTGGGTATTTGAGAGAAAAAAAAGCTAATAAAATCGGCCATTGGACAGTTTGGCTGTAAAAATTAGGTGCTGTCCATAAAAATTAAATCAGTCATTCTGTCACACATAAATCAAAGAAGTGCAGTGAACACAGGATAGCACTTCTACACCCCCAAGCACACATACACACACTGCAAGGAGAAAACACGACTTTGACCTTGTCCAAAACCACAGATCTATATTTATGTATGTAAGCTCACTTGCTTGCATCTTTAAATAGGCATATCTTTTCAATAAAAACCTCATCCTACCAATCTGACATTGAACATAAGGGTAAAAAAAATAATCACGCTTTACTTTTTGAAGACTTGCTGGGTGTCAGAGCAAATGCTGCTGTCAGTGTCCCCCACCCTGACTAAGCTTGTTCTCTCTTTAGCCCTTCAATGAAAATGCATCCTAAGTAGCCTCTCTCTCCCACTAAAGCACGCTTTTTCCATCATTTGGCATGCAGCAGAGAGGAGGGGGGTCGTTGAGGAGAAGGTTCTCGCTCAAAAACAGACTTAATCATGGTGAAGGCACTTCAGCAGTGATGAAAAGAACATAAATAAGCAATCTTGCTGAGGCTCGAAACTCTTAGTTCTTGCGGGGGACGCCTGAAATGAGGAATACAAACCGGCAGGTGGAGGGCAGAGATCACATGTGAGGAACTCAGCTAATCCAGACAAACCACAGAAATGCAAAAATATGGCCTATTAATGATTTCATCCAGCCTGCAGAAATCAGAAGGCAAAAAAATAAAAAAATAAAATACATATTTTTTTTAATGAAACCAGGTAAGAGGGGAAGATGAAAAGGAAAGGAGAGGCTTTAGAAGAGTCCGGAAAAGTGTGGCAGCAGGCTTAAGTGGAGGGGGTGGGGGGGTGGGGAGGGGGGGTGTTTGAAGTAGCAGAGCGGTGTGCTGCCCATGAATTTTTAATGGATGCTTTTTACTGTCTGAGTGTCTTTGGCAGGAATGAGTGTGATTTGTCATCATTTCAGGGGCTGTATGCAGCCTTACTGCCAGTGTATGGGTGTGTATATGTGTTTGTGTGAGTGCTAGTGTGTTTGGTGTGTGTGCGCAACTGTGTGTTGAGAGAGAGAGAGAGAAAGACACTGTGTGTGCACATATCTGTGTATATTTGTCAACGTGTGTATGTGTGTGTGTGTGTGTGTGTGTTTATCGGGGGTCTCTGTGGGACAGTGGTAGGCAGCTGCAGGTCGTCTACCCTGTGCTCTGCATCCTTTCTCTAAAATAAAGCCTCTCTTAGTCTGGCAGCTGAGGCTACACCGAGGAAAACTGCACGCACACACACACACACACACAGTTTTGTTTTTATATCTTGTCAGGATGTGGGCTCATATATATGTGCCACATGTACTAGACATATGTCAGTACCTCTATGTAATAATGATACAGTACTGTAAGTCAGAGACCAAGCTTCATATTTTTACTATCCATTCAAAACAGCCATTAAGTAAAACTGATTCATTTTTCAGGAGATGTTTCTGAGTAGGTTAGACATAAGATAATTTACTTGAATAAGGCAGGAAAAAAGTCAAAGTAAAAAAGTTTAAAAAGTTTCCAAAATGACACTAACAGCCTGTCTGAAAAACACTACTTAAATCATCTTTGCAAGATGGAGAAAATGAAGCTCCACTTGTCCACGTGTTTCTGTCCATGCTCCTTCCGCTGTGAGAAACTCAACACTATGACTATGAAAGGATGCGTGTCAAGAAGCCTTTACTGTTAGACTGCTTCAAGGTTTTATGGACTCACGAGTCTAAATTTGTAACTGGGATTACTTGGTGGTAAGAAGCAGGAAATGCAACCAACTTTTATGACTGAACTTTGCAGGTGTGGAAAAATATCCCTGCAGATTTCTTTAAAAAAGTGAAAGTTGTTACTGTTTTATTAGTAACAGTAGAGAATGACGTAAGGAAAAAGAATGACAGCAGAAAACATAAAGGCGCGCACAGGTTATACAGACTGCATGAATGTATCTCTACTCTCTTCGGTAAAACAAAAAATACCCAAACACAGACGTATCTCTGGATAAGCTCTGTCTCATCTGAGGTGGGTATATGCTGCATACCTGCATATACGCAACACTACACTAGAGCCCTAAACCTACCCCTAAGCTTAACCTTAGTTAACCAAAAGTAGCCTTAGCTCTTTACATTTTAAATGAAACAGGCAGCTTTTGTCAAAAAGGACTATACAATGTCATTATGCCCTGAAAATGTATAAAACAAACATTCAAAAGAGAGCTGCAGATAACGAACTACACTGTTTACTCATCAGATTAGTATATATTCTGATCACTTGTCTACTATGTCATACTAACAGTTCTGTAGGCATTATACAGATTGCTGCAGTCAGATTCAGCAGATTAAAATGACTACCCAGAGACTTGTGTAGATGAACAGAAGAGGTTGAAGCAAACAACAGAACGCTGAATAACATGAGGAACAAAATGACATTAATGCTTAATCAACTGAAGGTATGACTAGAAGCATATTCCTTAAATCCACACATCACAGCGAGTGCCATCAGCGCAGCAGGAGCTCAGACATGATGGCTTCTTAAAAGTGGAATAAATTCATGGAAATTTTGGGTGGTCTGAGATACCATTAAAGAAAGATTTCTGTTTTTTTCCTCTTATGCCAGACCCTGTGGTCCATCATCTCCTTAATGGAAGCCTCAGTGCCTCTAGTCAGTGGTGTGTCCTTGCCTGGGGTGACTGTTAGCATTTGATCTGGGCGACGGTCCACTGGGTGGTCATGGGGCATATGTGTGGTTTTTAAGGCGTGTATATGAATGTATGTCTCTGTGAGTCTGTGTGTCTGTCTGTGTAAGATTCCAGCTCTCTCAGGCCTGCGGCTGTAGGCCAGCTGCACCACAGTGGACATCATTCCTCAGGCTCTGACATGATGGCTGGTGCTCAGACAGGAGAGAGAGACTGAGGCTACTTTGGCCTTTCACAGGCCAAGATGATGGGTGAGAGAGACAGAGAGAAGCAGAAGAACGCACCTGCGAGATGTCCATCACCGAGTCACAGCTCAGGGGTCGTGCCGAGGTCAAGTCGTTGAATCCCAGCAATGTCGAGATAATTCCGTTCTGATCGATGCGGCGGATCATGGTGCCGTCTACAAAGAAGATCATGCCATACTTGTCCACTGTGATGCCTGCAGTGAAAAACAAAATGAAAGGAAAAAACAAGCCTCAAACACTGTTTACAAAATGACAGTTTCAGTTCTAAAACCTGACTGGCTGAGCCACGTTCGAAGCTGCTGTAAAATACTGAATATACACACATTTGACCACATACAACTGACCTAGAAATGCTCTGCCCACAAATGCATTTTTTTGCAGACACTGTTGGACAAGCTTTTTAAAACAGGTAAAAATCTTAAAATTTAGGCTGGAATTCACAATCACTGCAAAATGTTAACCTTCAAGCCACAAAGCTGTACTATGCTTTTGTTGCTAACTGAAACTAGATAGACTGGAAACAATAATGGACTGGCCAGCATATTAACATTAGCTTAATTACATGAGAAGAACGCCTGATCTATCTGAAAATGATACAAAATGTAATATATAATTTGAAATTAATAATGCACTGCTAAGTTCAGGGTTTTGTCAAATCTGAGCAGTGTGCTACAATTTCTCATTGGATTTATTGTTCAGTGAAGCAATGGTAATGTCACTGTCGGATCAAAACCCCTTCTATCTCCAAAAAAGTAACTTCACAGAAGCTACAAAAACAAAGACTATAGTACTACAGCATTAGCACTAAGGAAAAAGTTCAGAGAAGGGCAAAACTGCTTTGCAATTAAAAGCTAATTATGCTGTTTGGATGCAATTTTAAATCAATCCTGTGCGATCGATAATTAAATGAAGAGGCAGCAACACAAAGAACAACAACTTCAACTTGAGCTTGCAAATCCAATAAACGTTACATTGATTCACTGTACATATTAAGCAGCGAGCTTTAGTAACTGACATAGGTGGAGGAAATGAACGCATATCGCGTAGTGTTGACATGCTCAGTAGCAACCCCCAAGACAAATAAAATATCCATGTGAATTCATTATTTATGTCCTTTGAACAATAGAGAGCATGCAGAGTGAGCGAGCAAGCGAGAGAGAGGGAGAGAGAGAGAGCAATGAGGTATGGCTGCAGAGCTATAAGAAAGCATGTGATCGGGTGAGTAATGTGTCATATAACAGTCAGAAAAAGGCTTGGCCCAGCTACAACACGCTGAGTCTGTAATCAATGGCTTTTGTTGTGAATGTTCTTTTCCTTTATGAGCACTGAACAACACACTGCTCGAGCACCATCCATCTGAAAGCTGTGGAGAGAAAATACCATTATGCCTGTATTTCTGGAAATGGAGGCAAGCATTGATCTGGCCTGCAAAGCTCAGGCTCTTTCACCAAGCCTGCAGTACCCCCCCTCCTCCCCAATCCGTCCCAATGCACTCCTCAAACTCCAGTGAAGGACTCAAAGCACTAAATATCTTCCTTTCAGCTGAGGGCTAGCCTCCACCTCCAACCTCCCGGCCACGATGGATGAGAGCTGTATAATTTGGCTTCATGCTGCAGCTTTTTACTATCAATTTCAAGCTGAAAGCTGAAAAGATGATTTCGTGTAGTCGTGATGGCTGAGCTGCATCTAATCTGATGTGCAACTATGAAATCACAAATCTGAGAGCATCTGAGGTAAACACAGTGTCATACAGCATGTCAAACAGTTTTGGGTCGTAAATAATATGCAATAGATTTCAAACAATATGCATACACTACTACATAACTATTATAAATTATTCATAAAAGTTTAAATATTTTTATTTAGTCTGCAGCAGAAGAAGTGGTCTTTGAATACAGACTGCATGATATGAAAATAATATTGTTTTGCGGCATATTACAGATGTCAGCTTCAATAGCACTCATATTCATTACAGGTTGAAGACAAAAAAGATACCTTTTAACTCAATTTTAGCTTGAAGTGAATTTTTACAATAGAATATGAAATAATATAATATTAATATGACAGTTACAACTAAATATGAGATTAATAACAAAGCACTTAAAAGCTGAACCATTTTGAGAGTTATCAGGATATAAGACTTTCTGAGATTTATAAAAACTGAATTTGAGATTGAAATTCACAACATTTTTAAAGCCAATTTACAGAATTTCACATTATTAAGGTATTTCACTTCCATGAACCTGAATCTTTACTCTGACCACATGAAAATTTAGACACTAGAGGCAGTAAGAAAGTGCATTGAGGTAACACTGATGATTCAAAATACATGAAATGCACTGACTTCCTGTAATGGTTTGAACCTTTCTAGGCACGAGCTTTGTATTCAACAGGCTACAACCCCATTCTGATTCACCTTACTTCAGTATTCATTGCTCCTGAAGAACTGTATTAACTGGACCAGGTCTATTACATTAGGGCTGGAACTAAACTGTGGGGGAATCAAGATGACCCCTAGTCTCCCATACACTTCCCATCTCATTCTGAGAATGATACATAAAGGCTATCCTCCTTATCCACAACTTGTAGACCATTAAAATGCAGAATGAGCACAAAAAGAAAAGGCAATTTTGCTGTTAAACCTGTCTCAGAACTTCTCCTATCTAGAAAAAGCCTCGCAGCTGAGAGAAAGAAAGCCGCAAAAGTTATAGCACCCACACAGGCCATCTACAAAAGTGCTGTGAGCAACATTACCTTACATTACAAACATAAAATTCTTTGCAAGCTCTCCAGGCAATTTTAGACCACTGCTCATAGTTGTAGCCCATAGTAGCTAGAGTACTCTGTTGCTAAAGAAATTGTAATCATTTATTCTAAATGCGTTCATCTAATGTGGCTAACAAAAAGTGAGCATCTTCAAACTGGCTATTTTTCAATTTGTCATTAGCCACATTACCATTGCTCATTTACCTCTTTATATATTTCAGATCTAAGCTGTTCAAGGTCTTACCTCTAGGATTGGTGAGAGTGGCCTCCACCGCCTTTCCTCCGTCCCCACAGCGGGTCTCGTCGTAGGGCAGACACTGGTCTCCTGTCCCAGCTACCAGCTCCAGGTTCTTCGCCACATCCTTCACTGTGTTCAGGGACTTCACCTTGAACACTTTCCTGCTGCTGGTGTCTGACAGGTACAGAGCGCCAGACACTGGACTAGTGGCCAGGTAGTACTTGTGGGCAGGACTGTTACTACAAAACAGAAAAATAATCTTAGTAAAGGTGAAACATCTCCAGTTGCACACCGAGCATTCTTTGTATTGCTTATTATTTGTGTATGACCTGTTTTTGCCTGTTCCTGACCTGCATTTTTGCCTTTGCCTTTTCCTGACCTGTATTTTTGCCTTTGCCCTTTTGCTCTGTCATTGTTGTTTTGCCTTTCCGTATTTAACCCTGGACTGTGTTTTTGGACCTCTCTTTATGATTCTCCCGTTCAAAAAAATTGCCTAACACGGCTGTATTAGACACGAAAACATAAATATCCGGACTTGGTATCAGCAGATATTCAATATTATATTACTTAGTTTATAAATTTGATAAGGAAATGTCTAAATCTTAGTATACATGTTTGGATTTGTGTGATGCAAAACAGGCGGGTTTGAGAAAATCCATGACATTTGTAGCAGTTATGAAAATCTGCCTAATGTCATCTTACAGAGTGATCTCTGCTGCAGGCACATTCACAACTGGCAGATGGGTGCATGTTCACAGTATGCATAAAACCAATGTTGTCACTCACAAAACACACCATACTTGTCGACACCAACATCTAAAACCACTGTCCCAGCTGCCGCACACATGTGCGTAATCCAGAATTCAACACGTGCACCTCTGCCAAACTATCAGACGCACACAGGTCCTGCAGTGGGCAAAACCCCAGGCGTCTAATGTGCTGTCAGTGTGGGTTCAGGTAGGTGTTCTGCCGATGTCCCCGGGGAGATAGAGATATATGTAGTCTGAGGATGGTATCTCAAAACATTATGCATTCTCAAGAAGAAACGGCATACCGCTTAGCAAATAGCCCATTATACAGCCGAGTCAGGCTGACACAGTCATCCCTCACATCCACACGGGGGGCACGGCAACATCAAGGCCTGACAAAATAGCTCCAATCAAAGCTGGAGTGAGAGAGCCAGCTACCTGCTGCAACACAAGCTCCAATCTAGAGCCTGCTTGCTGTTCTTCCCCTCTGCAAGCTAATCAAATAAAGCAGGCGAGGCACCTGCACTGCAATTTAAAGTTTCTGGAAATCACAAGTTGGATAATTGCGACGTGCTGCCGGGCACTTCAATAGACACGGACTTTGTTACTTGTTACTGTTGGCCCACACGCCTACTCCTAAGCTCAGACTGATTCCGTCCCTTTTTTCTTTAATTGTTTTTTAAGAAAGTTGGTTCAACTTAAAACAACAAAAAAAAACCACTTTTTTTAGTTCTCCAACAAGGGCAGAGGCAGGAGAGTTTGTGGTTTTGTTTATCTTAAAACCTGCATTAGCTCTGTCCAAGCACAAGCAATAATAACTGAGAAATGAGGTACATGATGATGTCTGAATCTTAATCTCTTCCAGTAGTGAAAGAGAAAGCACACTTTAGGAAATGCGTGTATGTGTGAAAAATCCTCTCCATCCTCCTGTGGTGGGTCTTCTCATTGGCGCTTATCTTTATGTGAGCAGAGTGAGAAAGGTCAGGGTAAGAGAGATGCTTGGAGAGAGAGATAGAAGCAAAAAAGGTCACGAATCAGCATGAAGAGTAAAAAATTGCTCTTTTCCAGTGTCCAGTGAAGCAGAAGGCAGCACTGTAAAGACCCTTTACCCTTAGAAGCTGCAGTTCTCACTAGTGATAACAAAAGTAATTTTCTATAAATTATTTCTCGTTTATTTCAAAAAGCAAAGAGATTCTGCAGGAACTTTCAATGGATCCCAAATCTATTATGATCAGAATTTGCAAAGTTATTGTTGTGCATACAATCTTACTTTGCTGAAAACATCGAAAACATTTACATTTTTTGTAATATATACATACATAATATATATTAATATAATTATAAGTATAATTATACTGTGATAACATTTTTTTTTTTTGTCACGTTATCTGCTTTTAGATTTGATGATCATTTTTGATGGGTGCATTCATCTGTATCTGATTCTAATCATTTTATGCACTTTACTGACACCAAATTAGTTTTTTATATTATTGAAAACATTGATTTCCACATTTTTGAAACAGTAGTGTAAATGTTTATTAATTATCACCTTGTATTACATAACACAGAACATAAACCTATGCGCGTCAACTGACTTGTAGATCAAATATAGAGGATTATCCAAACACAGTGGGACCTCACACAAAGCCACTAACTCACTCAGCTCACATTTTTACACAGCTAGCAGTCAGGGTCAGGGTCAGGGTCAGGGTGAGAGAGATGCTTAGAGATAGAGGCCAAAAAAAGGTTGCGAATAAGCATGAAGCCTACTCTGTCCTGATAAAGCAGAGGGCAGCACCCTAAAGACGGCTTCAAGTCACAGGGCTTCAGTTCAGGGCTTCTCCTGCCACAGTCCATCATCATTAACGCCCGGGCCATCTCCAAACCCGTTTCTAACATGCCTCACACCTCACCCTGAAAGGCCCTGAAAGGGCGAGAACAGCCGTGCCAAAGCACAGGCCCTCATGGAAGTTCAGGGGAAAACTGGAGAACCCGTTTTTGCTGCTGCCAGCTCCGATCCGTTATGCAGGATGACAACTGACCTTCTGCTGAATGCTTGGAAACAGGCTGCGGCGGCCATCCTGGGGGCAGAACGTCGCCTCGGCAGGCCACTGACCCGTTGACTGATGACCGGCGTGCGAAGCGAAGGCAAAGCGGGATTTGTCTCCAAACGTTTTTGTTCCCTGGCTTGGGACTATGGGGGAAGCGTGGCGTGGCAGGACACGAGCTACTTTCTTTCTGTTGTCTCCCTGCACGCTCCAGCGGTACATCATCAGTAAAGCGCTGTGCGTGGTGCCGTGCTGGTTTCCCATCATACTCTCTGGTGTGAGGAGTACATCCTGACCTTCATGGACTGTGTCTATATTCTTTCACTATAGACGGTTCGGGGGAGATAATTGGATTTCGCAGTGGGTCATTGTGACGAGGGAGGGTGCGGCTTGGACGGGGGGACAGGGGTTGGGGGGCTGCTTTAGTGGGGGTCAGTGCACATGGCAATGGGATCTCATACACACACTCCAATTCACGTACACTTTCACACTACAGTCCAACCAATACAAACAATTTTTGTCACAATACCAATACAGCTAATATCGGCCAATGTAGTTTCAGAAAGACTAACAGCTTCACTTGAACAATGCACTACACTGACTGATAAGACTGTTAAGCGTCAAATATGAACTCTCTATAGTAGTTCTCTACTTAAAATACAGAAACTAAAAGAGTCTTAACTTAAAAACACAGTACAAGCCTCTTCTAAACCTTACAACAGAAAAATAACACAAGCTTTCACAATGTTTTACTCTAAACAAACATTTAGGGACAACAGGTTTTATATTAAATTTACATTCAATTTGGAACAAGCTGTTCTTTCTTATTTCATTCAACATTTAAATGAACATGAATGTAACATTCCTAACATTTTATTCAAACCTGTTATTTGTTGGCCATTTAACGTTTACAACTGGTTTGGTTTAAATTAAAAGTTTTAATTATTACTGTTTGGTCCCTCATTCTTTACAATTAAAAAAACAACAACTTTTAAAATCTGTGCCAAACAACCTCGTAACATGTACCAGCCAATCCTGTGTTGGGGCTGGTTAGCACAAGTACACAACATGAATTAAACCATGACTTCACTAATTCCATGAAATATTGCCTGGTATGCCAGGGATATATGGTACACAGTGAAAACTGTGCCAACTAACCCTGCTGTGGCTTTTCTTGTACAAAATTTACAGAGATTGCTTCATTGGCTGATGCTATGGAGCCGATTTTAATGGCTGAACAATACATCAGCCAGGCCCCAATTCACATACAGCTTACATATATGTATATGTATATCTCATACAACAGCAGTGGGACTGTGCCCACTGACCATTCTTTCTAAAAGCTTCTGCCTGCCTTACTTTAGACCAGGGTTAACATATGCCACTGTGTGCACACATCTACAGCAATGTTTAGCCTTATACTGCAGTACTGCTGCGATGACCACATTAAGACAAGATGAAATGTGTCACACTTCTCTGTGTCCCGTTTATAACTGAAACGTTTACTGTGACCCACCAATGCAGAGACCATTGAATATCTCTTCATGGTAGACAGGCTTTGTGTGAAGACTGCAAGCAGCTGGTATTTCCCAGCCTACCCTGCCCAGTCGTGTCCCGTCAGTCAAAGCCCAGTGCCACTCTGCTGACTGCCAAGCCAGATAGCAGAACACCATGACATGCACTCCACCACTAGAAGTAACATTCCAGAACCCACACCCCTGCAATGTTTTTAATTTTTAACCCTTTAATCCATGCAAAGAGCATCTATTTCATCCTTTGAATCTATCTTCTCAATTAATAACATGATGTGGGATTTATTTTGATATGTAAACAAACATTTTGTTAACTAACAAAGAAACAATTGTCATTTTGTCCAGACTACCTTTCTAAGCAAACACATGAAAATGAATATACTTCCCACTTTAGTTAACTTTTATCATTACTCTGATGAAACACAAGCACTCAGCAGTTCTATTCTGAATGTGCTCACGTTTATTTTACACAGTGATAGAAAACACTGTAACACACAGAAAGCTCCAGTTCCACATGTTGAAGCTGAATGCACTTTCACTCAACAGTCATATTAATAACTGCTGTTTTATTCAATTTATACAAAACTTAGTAAATTGTGATACTTTATGACATTATATACTATACTTTAAGCCAATCACCAGAAGGCATTTAGAGAAATTTCAAGGTTTGTGGGCATAAGTTATTAAATGATGAATAGTATTCTTTAATTATCTACAGCTTTCTTAGTCATTATGGAATCATCTACAGCTTTGTTCATTGTTCATCATGGATATATCTAAAATTTCTTATTTTTTTCCTACAAATTAAAAACCTATAGTTGTGGAGCAGTAGCATCATAATAGAATCATTTACACATATTCCAGTAATAAAACTGGTTGTATATTAATGAAAGCAGTGATTCCATACTTTTGAATGGTAGAGTACATTTTACCAGGCCCATGTAAAAGCCATAAGCAGAGTCTCTGAATGCATCGCTGGCAAGATGTTGATAGGGTTAAGCTTAGGCTTTTGATTTGCCGTTCTGAGCATTTCTGATGACAAACTGCAACTCATGACATCAAATGCTGTTAATGAACTAAATGTTCAGAAGCTGCTAAAAGCACATGAGTGTGTAATTTGTCTCTGACTGAAATGTCAAGCTGCGCTGTACGTGAGGCAGTCAGCTTTTTCCCCCCAACTCCAGGGGAGGAGAAGGTGATTACGGTCTTTAGGGGAGCCGCGTCCCCTGAGGGTCAGAAATATTTAAAGCGCTGAAACGGAGCTTATGTTAAGACCATGACTGCTGTTCCGTCTACCTGTCTGACATTTCAAATAATGGGCCTGGCACTCGCGCTCTCTTCTATACACCAGCGCCGCTTATTCCGCAAATGTTTGCCTTAGAGTGTGACCATAACCCGAGAAGGAGGGCGGCAACACGCATCAAACTACCTTCTGTCCATCTTCATCAGCGTTTGAAATGCACCATGGTAACACTGCCCTTTTCATCACTGCAGGAAAGGCATGCTTTTTGATGCGCAGAGTGCTAGGCTTTGTCAGGATGATCGCACAACACACAGTCTAACTCCACAGATCCCTGCCACATTTTAGTGTGATGCCATAAAGCCTTGTAGCATCAAGACATATGGCACTGTGATGATGCGGATGATGTTTGAAAAAAGAAACAATCCTTTCAGCCATCTCTTACCTGTGTCTGAAATCTTTATTTCTGTACCGTTTGATAGGGACAGCAGAAAAAAGAAGGAAGAGAACAAAAGGGGTTAGCAGGGGTTAGTATTAATTAGCGAGTTAGCATTTGGTAAGTAATGATCAGAAAAAAACACAGAATGACAACAGCGAACAAATATATGCCGCATTTCCCATTTCAAAAGCAGTCAAACGTGCTAGCATATTACATATATTTAATATCTAATAGAAAGGACAGGTGGAGAGAGAAAGATGTAGGTGTAAGAACACATGTAAACAGGAAACATCAGCATTATTGCTAGCACTATTTTATCCTCCATGTGTTCTTTGAAATGGACTAGATTAGCCTGATGGATTTTACTGCTTTGGCAAATCAGCATTCATACTAAAAAAAACGTCTAGATCTTCACAGAAGTTTCATATTTATCTTCACTGTATTGAACTGCAGAAAATACTCTAAGAGCCTGATGTAGTAAGCCTTTTCCATCAGTTTCAGGCACAATTCAGATGTATGAAACTGGCACACGAGGCTCAATGCGCAGTTTATGGGCCGTATATGTGGTCAAATGCAAAACGCAATTCTCTTCCTCAACCGTATGCTGAAGGAGGGCAGCGCCAAATGTGGGAGGACTGGAAGAAAGTGGGTGGAGATATAATGTGCAGCTGAATGCATATTCAGCTCGGTTTACTATAGTTCATTTTACTAAGCCTTTCAAAATCAGACCTAACATTTAAAATAATATGACAAATAATATGAATACAACAGAATTGATTGTGATTTTACATATATGCGCTATATGCACCCTTTCCAAACCTGTCCTTGAGGAAGCTCAGTATTGTCATTATCGTCCACACCTGTTTTGGCTAATCAATGCTTCATTATGTTAAATCAAGCATGTTGGTGATTTGACGAGGAATATAATAAATTTATGTTATCACTGGAGCCATCGATAAGATAAATGGAACCATACTTTCTTCTACCCAACTCACAAGATATCAACCACTTTTTTCAAAATGAGACATTCTTTTTACTTTTTACAGTATTTCTGTTTATTTGCACCTAATTTAATAATACATGATGTTATTACAGGTACAAAAAAAACAATCACTGCTCAGATAAATGGTTCTAAACAATATGCTTAGTTGCCTAAGACTTTTGCACAGTACTGTACATCTGGCCCTGAGTGCAGAGATTCATGACATTTATTATAAGGAGAGTAAAACCCTCCAGTTTATAGGCACTGTTGATACCCACTTGATCTGTGAGGAGCTTACCTCGCAATACTCAGTGGCAAAATCATGTGTCTGTGTGTGTGTTGGGAGGGTGTGTGTATATAAGCAGGCACGGCTTACCTGAGCTCCAGAACGCTGGTGACATTCCCAGTGGTGAAGATTCGACGGATATAGTTGAAGTCACCCACAAATAAGCTTCCATCAGAGCCACAGGCCAAAGCTACTGGAGCTAAAAGCTTATTTCCATCAGCCAGGCCATTACAGCTTGGACAGGAGATACTGCGCCGCCGCCCATTGCCCATGATACTCCCGATGACTGGGGGCTGCTGGGAAATGAAGACGTTCTCGCCATTGCCCTTGTGAAGGATGCCTATGAAAAAAGACAAGATGTGCTATGTTACTAATGGTGTAAACCTCTGCATGTACAGTGTTCTTACAACAGAATAAAACAATCTGCAATGTGAGATTTATTATTATTTTCCTTTTCCTTCATGTTGCTAAAAATACTCACAGCGTATTTCAGTTGTGAATTAAACAAGCTGTGAGTATATTTAAGCAATCCTACTAATTCTCTGTTTTTATTCCAGCTTTTTCTGTAGTGAAGCAAAATAGGTTGAGAGTGAGCGAATCTTGGGGTTTTAATGCTGATTCAATTCAGTTCAGCTTTATTTAAAATGCCTTCCCCCTGTCATGGGGCAACAGCATGCCTGCTGCTCTATGAAAAGGGATTTCATATTATTACCAAAAAGAACTGAGGAGAAGTGAACTGAACCACATCTAGGCAAGCTCACTTTTATTGGCCTGAGCCTTTTCATTCCCAAAGCTGATCTGCCTGTGCAGCGATTACCTAAACTAATGTCTACTGTGTTCACTGTCCACATCCATTCTATGACTGCCTATACCACAAAACAAAAAATATTTTGTTATTCCACCTACATTGTATTTCTTGTGGTAATAAGCACTTTAACTGTACGCACTGTCTGCACTTTTGACAATGTTGTTGGCTGCTAACTAGGTTTCAAGTTAGAATTGATAAATAATATATCTACAAATAGTCATTGCTAATAAGGGCTGTTAGATCTGTTTTTTCTCTCTCTTATTATTCTCTATTGTTCCATATTTATTGCGTATCTGTACTTATTAAAATGAAGAAAAGCAAAAGCACACTTCAGATTGTTCAGAAAGTTAAACTTGACCCATTTTGCACTTGATAATTTTGTTACCTAGCCATACCCAGTCTGACACCAGCATAGCATCACCAGAAGAACAGTGCCACATGGAGGGGTAGTGGGTTAGATGCTTTGGCATAAGGGCACACCCAAGAGTATTCGGTCAGTGCTGGGATTTGAACCGGCAACGATCTGATTGCTGGCTCATTTCTCTCATCTCTACCCTGCCAAACTCAATGGATCCACATCTAACAAATACTGGAAATCAATCTTGGACCATTTGCATTTTGTACAATGCAGAGCACAGATGCTCTTGTAGAACTTTCACTCAAGTGGCTGTAAGTGGAGCAAAATGTAAAACTCAATGTCTGGCTACTCCTGCATTGTTGCTCACAGAACACCTGCTGACTGTGGTTGTGTTTGTGTGAAATCCTGAATAAGAGCCCCATCAGCTAGGCAACTCTCTCAGAGCACTGAAGGGGGAGGGAAAGGCAATTAAATGAGATAGATTTGAAAAAAGCTAAAGCGCAAATGGGATATGGGCCTACAGGGAGAGAGGGATGAAAGAGACGATGAAAGAGACGATGAACGAGCGAGACACTAGACAGGCAGACAAACAGAATCAACTTCAGCGGAAGTCCTCTGTCCAAGCAGCCTGTCCTCCTGACGACTGGACTGCTTACAGTGACAGATCGAAGTGCCACCTGCGCTCCACACACTCCTGCTGTAAGTACGCCTCATTTCCCGTTATGACTGTGTATGGGCACTGGCAGGAGATCGTGCTCCTGACACAAAGTGGCGAGAGAGAAGCCTTTGTGTGCCTTCAGTTCGCTTCCTTCACAACCAACTCAAGCGGCAGGACCAAAATTGACCTCCCACAGCAGAAAGAAAGAAAGAAAGAAAAGAGAACACGGTGGACATGACACATCCTCCAAGAGTCAGAATGTCACGGTAGAGCGAAGTCTACAGTGCTGAAATGACTGTCTGCACCCGCTAGAGAACTGTAATAATTGTATAGCGCTAGAGAACTTTAATAGTCGTTACATGGCAAAGTGTGGTGAGCCTGTGTAGATCTCAGAAATGATCAGTCAGATTATCAGTACATCAAGGATATATGTTTATGGCCTCCGTTTTGTTGGATGCTTGTATTGTGCCTCATTTATAAACAGTCCACTGAAACACCCCTTATAACTTCAACATGAAAGGCTGGGGCTAAACTGGTGTAGGCTGAGCTCACCGCTTTGTATGTTGAGTGCATGGTGTTGGTCTATGCTCCAGCCCCCCAGATTGGATGCAGCGGTCTCGTAACCCTGCAGAATGGCTGTCCTCTTCTCCCACAAGATCAGGTCAGGACATGACTCGTACTCAAAGCCCACAGACACTGGACAAACAGAGAAAATAACAATGAGCTTTCAGCCTTTATGCACTACCACCAAATCAAAGCAGAAGGTTTGTCATTGGTTTTAATAATAACAAAATATACATTTACAAAGTGATAATTTGTTCAAAATTTCAAATTTACACAATTTCCCTTACAGCAAACGCAGCGAGTTAAGCAAGACATTTTCAGTGTCGGAAGAGTGGTTCTTTAGTATTACACTGGAGCTGTGGCACACTGCAATCTCCAAAAATGGACAAAAGTATAGCTGAATCCCTAAAAACTAGAATATGTCATATAGTTAACTGAGCATTCGAGGGAATAGTTTTTCATTATTTGTTAGTTATGTTAGCCTCATAGCTCCACTGCAAAACTAAAGAAGCTATCTTTAGACCCCATAATATTTGTCGATAAATAACATTTAGGGCAATTTTTCCAAAATGTTAAATTCAGCAAAAAATCTTAATTATGTACCAAAATATTTAAGCTTGTTCTCTGTAGAGGGTGTGTGAACCTCTTTTCACTAAGAAAATCAAAAAAACATGTAATTTTACCAGGGTTATTCAAACCTTTGCAAACTACTATAAATCAAAATACTGATTATTCTGAATAGTGGCTAAAGCACAAACTGATTTCATGTCTTCTAACCACATAATGTGTCCACTCACCGAAAGCCTCCGACAGGCCGTACACCTTCTGACTGTAGACGTCAGTCTTGTCCCAGACGAAATCATATGAGAGGTTGGGAGCAGCTGAGAACCACTTCCTGAAAAGACGGCCCTCTACCGCCACCATCAAGTGCACCTTCATCAGGTTAAATGGGATGACTGCGTGCGTCAAAGTGACCCTCAACAGGGATTTGTAGCCGGCCGTGCGGCTGCTCAGATAGCCTAGGCGGAGCTCTGTGCCTGGGATACGCACTTCCTCCTGTAGAGCCTGTGGTAAAGAGAGGAGACAGCTTCAATTACTCAAAATAGTAGGGGTCCATATTACACATTTTTCTTGTATTGTAAAGTGAGGTCCACGTGTGTGCAGTTTTATGTACCGCTCTAATTACTTTCCTGATTTTTTAACCTTACTATATCCCTTAGAATTAAGCAGGCTGTTTTTCCTATTGTCCTCTAAGACTGACATATGTAAATGATCTCTATTTTGACTGGCTGCTCTGTGATGTGCCTCTTTTGAAAAGCAGTCCAAGCTGAAACATTACTTATAACTTCACTGTAAATGGGTGGGCTTAACTGCAGTAGGCTGAAAAAACAGATATATTTAAAAGGGTGTCTGTGACATTACAAATACAGTAAATTCAAAATAGACTATTCATTTCCATATATTAACAGGTTGGATGAAGGAATTAATGTTTACATACACAAAATTCTGTTTTCAATAACAGTGGTCCTAAAACTATAACAAAAAGTATTGGAAAAGAACAACCTTCAAGTATGTGATGTTCTGTAGTTCATCTGGCACTGCACATGTTATTTAAATCACTGTACTAATGAGCGCAGATGTGCATGTTTGGAATGCAGATATGAAAATGTGTCAAGATCCCATAACACAACATCAATTAAATCATTTTATTTGCTGCGTCGCCATAACAAAAGTACTTCACTATGAAATGAAATTACAGTGGCACATCTGCATAAGAAACACAGCTAATGGAAGTGTAATGCTGAGCCTACTGCAGAAAGGTGATTGGTTCAGAGGTTTTCTCTCCCTATCGTCCCTTAGACACACACTGTGGTGCTCTCATTAAGTCAACACATATATCCCTTTCCCTTCCCAGATGAGAGCAGAGCAATTAGCCACTGGCTGCTTTACAAATGCACAGATAAACAGTATAACAAAGATGATGAAGGATGCTGGAGGATTTATGCTTGTCTGTAAATCCTCATAAATCAACAGCAGAAAAGACTAATTGTAAATGAGTAAATATAAAGTTGGTAAGAGATCAAAATAAAAAGAAATGTTTCTTTTTAGTTGCTGTGGATAAGATTAGGGTTAGGTTTAGGCTTCTTAAATACAGGTATTTCACTTATATATTTCCAGTCAAAATGTCCATTATGTACAAGTTAGTCATTTACTGCACCTACGTAAGAAAGGGAAAATAATCGAGTTTCCAAAACTGGAGGTCAAAAAATTATGAAAAGATATAGAGAAAATAGGACTTCTAACAACAATGTAAGACCTGATAGACTACAAAAACTGTCACTGTCAGATAAACAGTGCTTAAGCTTTCATCTTTGAGAGAGAAGAGAAAATCAAACTGAACTTTTGCTTCACAAAAAGTGCTTCTCTTCAATCTTCAGCTGTGAGAAGAAACACAACGCTATGTGTAGCTGTCAAGAAGCTGTTAGTGAGAAAATAAATTAGACAAAAAAAGAAGAAACTTGCAAATCATACAAAGATAGCTGTGAGAAGGAGTGTGGATTGGGAGAAGCACTAAATGAAACCAACTTCTAAGACTGAACTTTGGAGCTACTGAAAAATATCCCTGCAGATTCCTTGAAAAACTGAAAGAAAATCTCCAAAAGGGATGGTAGCTGTAAGGCAATGGGTAGATGCACTAAAAGCTGAAAAATATGAGATTATATTTAGGTGCTGAGGCTTCTATGAAATTACATGTAAAATATGTGCTGCTGCTGTTTTTCTACTGTTTATTTGCTGAGGTACAGTGCTATTTCTTTCGCACATGAGACATCCATTGCTTTGTTTTTTTCCAATATGTTAAATCCAGCAAATAAACAGTAACTGTGTATTAAAACGTGTAGAAGTGTGTTCTCTATAGAGGATGTGTTAACTTATTTTAATTTGAACAGGGGTCGCCCAATTTGTGCATACAAATGTATGTATGAGCCTATGTCCTGACACTGTCCCAAAACAAACCTGCGTCTGTGGCACAGACTAGCGTGTTCAGGGACAGGACAGATATGGTTTGATATTAATAGGCCAGACAGCACTGTGTGTAGCACTGAGCGATTAATCTTGTAAAGCAAAGTGGGAGACAAAGTAATTAGAAAGGAACACACAGGCGCAGGTAGAGCTACAGAAGCGCAGGGACAGGCATCCAAACACAAATTAATAACAAATAGCCATTGGCATACAGATTCACAAATGCATTGGTAAGCATACGGATGAATCTGCATACATAAACACAAACATGCACACATCATCTCATGCACAAACCCATCTACACAAATGCTAGAAGTACTTGCACCACAGCCCTCGCCACCCTCCTCCAAAAAATAACTAACTTGGAGAAAAGAAAGACGCTACAGGCTTTTTCACCAGCGACTACAAACTCTTCCGGACATGGAAATTCGACAAGCGTCCGTTTTCCTGTTTAACGTAATTATCATCACTCTGCAAAAAGCTGGCACACTAAATTGGACTGTGTATCTCCAACCAATTACGCAGGGCTGATAAAATGACAGTGTTGTCACTAGCAAGAGTCACTCCTCCATTCGAACTTGGTGTTCGCTTTTTCCAGTCCGGTCGTTGTGTGTGTGAGAGCACAGGGCTGTCCATCACTGACACAAGCCTCTGCGGTATGAATCACAGGCACGACCCGATGAAGGGATGCGGCCCATTTACAGAAAGCAATTCAGAAGCCCTTTTTTTCATCTGTTAAGAGCTGTAGTAGGTCATTTAGAAGTTAACAGCAACTGCTCACCTAATCACAAAGCACTCAAATAGAAATACACTTTCAGATGTGTACACAGAGCTATAATGAATATGAGCATGTCAGCAGGTGGGCTAGTACAGAATGCATTTTTTATAGGGGGTAATATATAGCAAAGGCAGAGCATAATGGCAGACAAAGAGAAGCTCTGTCGGTTCTAGAATGAAGCAGCTAACAAGATTCATAACAGAAAAAAAAGCATCTGTTTATCTATTTTAATAGATTATTTGTGCATTTGTGTCTGTTACAGTCATAACACTTAGGATCTATATTGTTGTAAATACCCTGTGCATTTAACAGTGTGGATATGTAAAATTTGTAACCGACTCTGTACCACTGTACCACGTTTAATAGAAAAAAGAATATGTTTTCCATTAGCTGTTATTCTTTTTAAAAATATGCTATATCCATTATTGTTACAAACCGATATACAGCATTTTAGAAAGGAACTCTTCACATGTAATTTGATCAAGGTCCCCACATTTTGGAAACAGTGAAAAAAAACTTAAATTTAACAGTGAACAAAAAAAGCAAATAATACATAAATAACATTGCTTTTCATTAATGATGTGCAAAAATCATGGCAACGTGACAAGCAAAACCTTCATTACACTGCTCCGACGTCGCTTGACCTCTTTAACGCGGAATCTCCTTTTCAGAATTAAATGCTAAATTAGTGTCAGAAGTAAACGCTGATAAACAATCCACACAGCTACATTTCATTCCAGTGAGCGGTGCTTTTAGCATAGCAAACCAAATGCTACGTATATCACTACATATATCATTTCCTCATATGATCCTATAGTGTCTACTGCATCTCCATCACATGTCCTGCAACTCTGAAATGTAATCACAGTCCACTCACAGCCCTCTGTTAAACTTGGGGGCATGGCTGAGGTTACAGGGCAGTTTCGCTCATAAACCTACAATCAACAAGCCACCTGGTGCATAAATCTGCTCTTCGCTTTGTGTTCACAGGCAACTTCACCCAGGATGTCCCTTACCTGAATCTCAGGGATGATGCCACCCCTCTCAGGGCAGTTCCCGGCAAAGGCGGTCAGGGGAGCAGGCAGAACGACTGGACTGGGCCGGGTGAAGCTGCTGAGGTCACAGCTGGGGATATCGTTGACCTCATGCCGCATGACGATGGTGTCCATAACAAAGAAGCGTGACCATGGCAGCCACAGCGTGTGCTCCTGCGTGATGAACGGAGCACGCTCAAAGCGCAGAGCGATGGCCACACCCCCATTAGAGACCAGGTCAAAGCTGTAACAGAAAATGAAATGTTCAGAGAAGCTGCTTTGGTGAAATGTTAATTATCAAACAACCGAGCAACATTCAGTACCACCACTAACTATTAAAATTACCCAATTTAGGATAATCTCAATATCTGCAATGTTGTTGTGCAGCATTATAGACTTGAGTAAAATCATGCGTCATTCTCTTTTTGTTAGACAAGCAAAAAGACATTAGGCCTCTGAAATGACTTCTGCTTTAATTTGTCAAAACATACTGCTGTCTTTTTATCAGTTCTTTTCATACTGCAACCCACACTTTGTCATTCTTTATCCCTCCTCAGCCCAACAAGCACCCATTTTCTATACTTTAAGCCATATACAGTATAATTAAAAATATTTGATATTCAGCTTGCACCTCATTAATTAAAGAGTTCACACCACATGTTACATCTCTGCTAATGGAATGATTCAACACGCAGTTGCATTACAATGCACTGACTAATTTTTTAATCAGCAGTGCTATACATTTTATGACTAAGCATCATATATGCTCTAACCCTTCCTTATACACCCTAACAGGATTTAATTGTGGCTGTAATTAATTATGAAATCCTAAATGACAGACTCTGACTGAAGAGAACCCCGCTTCAGCTTATTAGGGAGGGAGGTTTTTATCTGCTGGCTGCACAATATGCTACAAATACAATAGACTTCTGGCTCTGTTTGATAGATTGAGCTTTTGAGCCTAAATTAATGAAATCGTTTGAATGGGTGGTGCTGAAAGCCGTTATTCTCAACGGGACATAAAATGGGCACCTTACTTCTAGTGCCAGAATCAGACATATAATGGTGACTGTGTTGTGCTGTGAAGCCATTAAGCATCTGTGTTCTGTTTCTGAATCAGTTTTGCATTTCGCCTCCTGTGACAAATTAGCATAAAGATGCATAAACCTGATTCTAGATTGGGGCTTTAATCCTGGATGATCTTGAAGCAGGTGTTCTGAAGCTGAGAAAACACTAAATTGCCTCTGTGGTCCTCCGCAACTGGATTTGTGGAACGAGGATGCAGACTCCATTTGTGTTTATAAGGAGAGCTGAGAGAATTAAACTGTCAATCAGCATATCTAAAAGCCTCTCTAAGAACATGCCAACAAAAAAGACAGGAGATTAAAGAAGTGTAGTCTACAAATCAGCAGAGAAAACGTACACAGTACACACATTTGTGTCCAGCTGGACTTGTAGGTGTTAATGCAGAAATTGGGATTTTGCTGCGTATAAAAAAAAATATGAGGCTCTTACAGCAAATTGATTTACCCCCAATCTGCATGACCCCTCAGATGACCTCTTACAGTGCACAGTTATGCCGTACAATGCACACTGCCCATCAAAAGTTTGCGGTCAAAAAGCTGTTGGTTTGCATATTATTGACCAACCAGATTTATTTTGAGGAAAACAAACACTACACATGAAAATATGTGCGGCATATATTAGTGAGAATTCTACCTTATGAATTATGCCAAAGCCCACCCATTTTATTCCCTTGTTGTGTGTCAGTGTCACAGCACTCAAACCATTTAGCTGTACAAAGCACCTTGAGGCCAAAACATCATCAATATGTGCTTTTAACAATAGTTTAGACGCAAACACTCTTCATATCAAGGATGACAATTTAACGAACATGAAGCTGAATGCTGAAAAGTATACCGAAAGCATTAGTAAATAACTGTTTATGTAAATTTATTGCAGGTACATTTTCACACTTAATTGAGAACTGTAAGCAAGAAAAAAGGCAGCGTCCTCAAACTTTTGACGGCTAGCGTAGGTCCTCGCACTTTGCAGCCCTCAGTACAAACTTTAACCTGCTAATGATGTCACACTTTGCCCCAGTGTTGCCAAAATGTTGACAGCCAGGCAGCACTGGTCATGTTGTGCAACTTTAAGCGCTCACTTCCAAATGTTTTTTTGAGTTTTGCATGTAACCAAATCACAGCTGTGATGTTACTTCAGATAACATATTCCCACTCAGAGTCTATTCCTTCTGTAGCACTGCTGATCAGAGACAGAAGGGCTGTGCACTCTAACACAGAGGTGTCAGACTCAACCACTAAAAGGGCCATATTAAAAAAATCGTATTAAATCCGTGGGCCAGAGAGACTTTGCATTCGAATACGTCAAAACATCAACAGCAAAATACAGCCACTTGTTAAAAATCTTCAAATGTTACACGTGATTACTTGATACAAGGGCTACATTAGCTACAGACAACTTAAATCTCTTTAATTGTCCTCAGGATGTAGGTTTTTTAAACCTACCTGTGTGCTTGATCTACACACCTGACATCTTTTCTTTGCTGCAAATTCATTAACTCAGCTTCTGAGCTGCTGAGTGTTTATAGTGTTCATAACGTTTTTGTTGGTTGAACTGCACCTGAAACGCAGCTAGCAGTGATATGATGTGTGCATTTGGGTAGAAATCTGCTGCCCCATAGAGTGTTGTGGGGGTGGGGGTGGGGTTCAGTACACATTACGTTGCAGTGCATGCTGGGGATTGTAGTGCAGCTCACTGTGAAATGGACTAATACCGATAGAAAATCACAATAACTTTGAGGGCCGGATTGGATTGTGTCACAGGCCTGATCTGGCCTGTGGGCCTTGTGTTTGACACATGAGCTCTAACAGAACTTTCAAAGTTCTACAGTCCCACAACCAGCTCCAACTGACCACTTGCTGTACAGAAATTGAGCAAAAATCAGGAGATTATGGGCAATACCAGCATGTTCTGGGTTCAGTGTACAGCTAAACTACTTAGTTTCTTTTGAATGAATGGAAAGTCCTACAACTGTAATAATGAGCAGTTTTTTTTTTAAAAAACAGGCCTGTGACATTCACCTGATTGCCATTACTTAAGCTGACTGCAATTATTTTCCACAGTTGTTAGCTTTGCAATTCTATGTTGATATCACAACAAGCAGAATTTAATTGGGTGCATTTTCATCCTTTAAGGATCAATTTATGGAAATAAAAGAAAGCATGAAATGCGTTTATTAAGGCGCATCATGGTTCTTATGAAAACAACACAACTTCTGACTGGTGCTTTAACACCTTTAGAGGGCAGTGCTGGGTAATGTTTGTTCATCTGAGCTTGAGCTGTGTCGGTCATCAGTTGGGAGCTACTAAGCACCGAATAGCTATAAAGCAAGATAGCTGATAAGCTTGTGTACCCAATTCAGGCTCGCATTTTCATATAAGGGAATTGTGATGCCCATTTTACAAAAAAGAAACCACAGCCTGCCCACTTGTTTTCTACCAGCACATGCTTCCAGGATTTGCCAATTAGTAGAGTTAGATAAACGGCAAGGCTAAATTAACCTCAACTGGAATGGGATACCATTTGCACAGTACCACATCCGTTCTCATTCAAGTGAATAGCTTTTTCATTTTTTTTCTGTGTTCAATTTGACTGCAGCTTTTGGCAGTGTTTGTCTAAAAAACACAGATGCCAGTGTTTGGGAGTGGGAACTCTTTGGAGAATAGAGTATACAGGGACAATAGCACAGTGTGAATTCTCTCAACAGATAGAAATGAATGCGCACACTCAGGCAGAAACAAGCACACACTAATCCAGCTACACATCCCGAACACCTGCAACTGCTTTTCTTAACAAGCCATTAGCAGTAGGTGATGTTAGGGCCCTCGGGGAATGTATTGGGACAGTGTGTCCATGCAGGCTGCAGGAGTTACACAGTGAGTCTGCAGCCAGCCCTCATGCTGCCTGGACATTAATTCAACTGCATATCCCTGCAGACCTACTCTAATGCATAGCACTCATTGGCCAAGTCTGTAAACAAAGGTCTGCTCTGCCCTTGCTGTGGTACCCTTGCTAAAACAGGACTGAGTGAGAGTGTGTGCGTAAGTGGGGGGGCACTAGTCACTGCAAAATATTTTGTAGTCATCACTCTCTGCCCTTCACAATTCTGATAACGCAGAAAGCGCAAATAAACAAATTACCTCTCTAAAACATCCTTTTTGTGTGCTGAGCTCATCCAGATCATCGTGAAATACCAGATAAGTTTTAATCATGTCACAACTAAGGTTTAATGATGCTTTTAACTCTTACTACTTACATTTTGTAAATCTATTCAAATGTAATTACATATTTATTACATATAAAGTTCTGTCTTGATTGGTTCAACACTTCTTTTTCACTTCTACTACATCTTTTCAGTTTGTTTCAAGCAATGAAAAAGTGGCAAAAATATAAAGGATGGATTTTTTTTTTCTGCAAAACAAGTCTGTATGTGATCGTACAAGATTTCGTGTTCTACTTATGACCACAAATGTGGTATCAATTGAAAGTAGGGGGTGGGCAAAATAGCCAAAATATAACATACCACAACATATTTTCACAATATACAATACATATCACAAAATGTTGTACTTGATAAGCTGGAACAGACAAAATGCACCAGCATAAATGCAGCATTTTAGTGCTACAGTTAAAAATACTGTACAATGATTTTAATTAGCATTTCATATACTGCATGAAATCCAATAAAACAGGTAAAGGTGCAAGAAACTGGCCTGTGTTCTTTAAGTACTAATGACAATCAATCAATTCACTGAGAAAAGTATATTGTGACGTGATTTATCACAATAATGATAAAATATTGTCACAGCCCCCTCCCCCTTGTGTGAAATAGTTCTAAATTACACTATGCTTTTGTTGTTGCTGGTGACAGGCTTAATATACTGCAAGTCAAAATGTAATAACAATATACAGCAATATAACTGCAATTTACAATTTTGTCCATATTGTGCAGCACTAGTGGCAAACTCTGTGCTTTCATGCTGCCCCAAATCCTGCACCGCTCACCAGTTGGTGTCGGCCACTCACACAAAGGCCAGTCAGCCACATGCACACACAAATTGCACACCTACAGGCTGAGGCCAATCGATAAGGCCGTTATCAATCAGGAGAAGCACCTCAGGTTCTGGTGACACACACTATAATTCTCCACAGCACCAAGCCTTCTGCTCAGGATTTCACAGGGACAGCAGGGCTAACGCAAAGGGGTTAACTGGATCTGTGGATTAGGTCAGTACATGAACGATCGGCGCGGCTTGGACCAGCCACAGCGCCTGCAGTGTGATTACTGACGCAGTGGGTGACTCATTACTTTCATGTCCCCATCAGGGAATTGGGGATGTACACATGACTCACATATTTCACAAATCAAAGGCATTCTACAACCCTGCAGGACATGCCTGCAGCTACAAAAGAGGCATTAACCCTTCAAAGAGTTATTACTTGTTTTTTTGCATGTAATTACATAATTACATAAGTAATTATATAGTGAGTTATGTAACGAATTATATTTACCTTGAAACATACCTGAAACTGCAAAGTTAAACTTCCATACTAAAACTAACAGTATTATTTTCCTATATACAGAATTATGTACGGAATTTATGACACTGTTAGTTTGGAAATTAATTACATTCCCATTAATATGGACATGTTCAAATCTGCATTGCCAAATAATTTGGAATAAACTGTTAAACAAAGAATAGCAAACTCCAGAACTGTAAATAATGTTTTACTTTCCAAAAAAAACAAGACCGTACACTAATTCATACCATGCTGCATTTTTGATAACAATACTCATAATTCTTGTCTCCTTATAAACACAAATGTAGTATCGACTAAAAATGGAGAATTCACACTTTCGACAGAATTTCTCCGCTTGTTCCAAAGAGCAGTGAGTTAGAAGTAACTAGTACAAATTTACAGTATGCTTTTGCTAATGCTGATGCAACTTCTAGAGGTTAAGTGGAATTTGCAGTGGCTAAGCAAAAGGCTATAAATGTTAAGTTTAACTAATATATTATTGTTATCCTTCCCCAGGCTTATGTTAAACTAACTGTTTCTTCATAAATGGTCAGTATGAGTCTTAGTTGATGGTCGGGAGGCAGAAGAAGCCTTTCTGGAGTGGTGGAGTGGGGGGACATGGGCAAAACAGAGGTGCTGGGACAATAAAGAACACATCATAAAAACGAGTGGAGACAGCCTTCCCCTGTTTCTAAGTGGCTGAACAGGTGCGTTTGTGATTTCACGCCGCGCTGAGCATGTTTTGCCAGGGTTCAGTACAGAGCAGAGTGAGAGAGAGCATGTTTACACGAAAGAGAGAGAGACACAAAGAGAGAGAGAGTCAGAGAGAGAGAGAGAGAGAGAGAGAGAGAGAGAGAGACAAAGAGAGGAAGGTAGAGAGAGAGGCATAGAGAGGGGGGAACACAGAGAGAGAGAGGCATAGAGTGAGAGAGAGAGGCAGAGAGAGATAAAGGAGTGTTTACAGACAGAGTGATGGAGAAGAAAAAAGAGCAGAAAGAGAGTGAGTGAGTTGGGGAGGGTGAGGGAGGGAAAGACGAGTGTTTACAGTCACAAAGGAAGAAAAGAAGAGGGAACACAGTAGAGAGAGAGAAAGGTGCAGGGAGGGAGGACAGTAAATGTGTGGGATGGGAGAGCAGCAGGGAGGAATGATCAGCTCAGGGCAGTGAGAGAGAAAGAGTGGAGCATTGAGAGAGCGAGCAGAAGGATAACATCTAAACTCGGAGCAAAAAAGAGCCAGAAAGAGAGGGAGAAAAGAAAGATGAATGAGATCAGAGAGGTGGATCAGTGTTGAATAAGAAAAACATGTTCGAAAGGAGGGAGGAATGCTGCAATCAACCCTAGTTATTGCTATTTAATACTATACGATTACACTGCAATTATGTAATTACAAAGTCTGTTACACGGTTATGCAATTCATTACATTTACATTTTATTTAAAGTCTGTACTGTCAGATTTAAGTCAGCACTTTGGGCTTTTTTCCTGTTTGCTTTGATGTTAAACAATGGTAAAATGTGCCAGAGTGGGAAAAGAATGATTTTTACAGACTGGACAGGCAACAATGACTTTTCACCAACCTAAATCATTAAATATCTCCTACTCTGACACAAAGTCAGGACTGAAAAATAACAGAATTTCCATGCTTGTTTGAATGAGCTTTGAGTAAAATATTATTATTATTATTATTATTATTATTATTGTTGTTATTGTTATTATTATTAAATGGAAATGGCAAGTTTCATCTTTCTCATATCCAAAGTCACTTTACAGAAGAAACAACAATGCTAACAACAAAGGCATTACAGCATGTTTTTGTTGTGACAAATTATTTCTAAGAGTAAAAAGGATACTTTCACTGTGGGGTCTACATTGTAGCCACTTCCTGCAGGAGCCCCCAGCAGGCAGACTGGAACTCAATTTGGCTATTTTTATTCATTATACTTAATCAAAATATATTTCCCCATTACTCTGTTGTCAGATTAAATGTGACGCAGTTTTCTCTCTGTGTGTGAAATTTTGTGACTCTGTGTTGAGCTGCTGATGAGCAATGAGGGCTGAAAGGGGAGATGTGAGAACCTGCAGCCGTAAAAACAATTCACACCTCTCCACAAAAACGGCCATACCGAGATAAAACGGACAGCACAGCTGTAGTTTTCTTCACGCCAAAAAAATTCACAATGCCAAAATAAAAAGAACAACATTTGAACACAATAAAAACATTTATGACTGTTGACTTGCTTGCTCAACTTCAAAAATAAGACAGTCTTGTAAATCATATAGATTTACATCAAAATATATTCTCTAAATGTTGGTGAAGAAAAAAATATTGTATAGTACAACTGAAACCTCCCTCAGAACAAGCAGCAGCAGCATTTCATGGCTGAGATGAAAATGGGTTAAGCTAGAGTGGCTGAAAGAGCAAAGAGAACGCTACATACTTAACACAATACTTTGTCCTGACTCCTCATGTGCGTGTGTGTGTGTGTTTGTGTGTGCGTGTAGAGCAGCATACCTGCCGTCCTGTCTGGTGATGGTGTATCCATAAGCTGGGTTGTTGATGAAGCTGATGTTCACTCCAACCAGCGGCGTCCCGTCAGAGGTCACCACTTGTCCTCGGATGACGCAGGCGTGACTAGAGAGAGAGACGACATAACAAAGCTGACGTGTCAGCCCTCATTTCTGCCATGTAATACCACACACATCACACAGTGGCGGAATTCACCTCACGTGACCCAATTTCCAATTACTTAAATAATGAATTAAACCCGACCGACAGCTCTGAGGAGGCCGCAGTGGGGTTCCCTGCCTTAAAAGAAAGAAAGATAATGAGAAGAAAAAAAGGACTTCACAGAGAATTCTTTACACTTTCATCCTAATTAAAACAGGGAACTGCTTGGAGGAGGGAGAACAACCGTGAGGTGCTGCGGTGGTGTGTTCAGCCACTCCAGTAGAGTTGGAAATGATCTCACACTTTGAAGATGCTATCAGTTACTTTGGCAGAGCAGACACTTACAAATCAATATTAGAGAATCAATCAAACACAATTTCAAACAGTCCTGAACTCACACCAAGAGGATTAACAGCATGATACAAGACTTATGAAGTCCAATGTCACACGAAGTAGAGCTTACAGGAGACTTCATAAGACATTTAGGAAGTAAACATGCAGCACACAAAGAGGTCCTATAAGCCTTGTTTGTACATTACTATGTTTTTACCTTGTATATTCCACATTTTAGAATATTAAAGACATTAAATCTATGTAAATAAGACATACAGAATAACACAGTGACCACAAAGTGTTAAATAATTCAAACTATTGTCTAGAATTTTTTAAGCAGCCTTGAGGACAGTTTTGTACACTTATGGCATTCTCTCAGCAGTTTCATGAGGAGCCATCTGGGATTTTTTTTCCAACAGACTTGTAGTAGCTCCACATATGTTGAGTACTAGCTGACTGCTGAAAACTATGTGTTTTCAAAACAATGTACAGTACTGTATAAAAGTACAGTGACCACCCTTCATTTTTTTAATTACCAGTAAAAGAGGCCGTTAAGTATAAGTGGTGCACTTGTGGATGTTTTCAGATCTGAAGCAAGGGTAGAGCTTGATTTTCTCCTCCCTCTCAAAGATGAAAGTTTTAAGTACTGTTCATCTGAGGGTAACAGTTTTGGTATTCTACCACCGTGCATGGCTCGTAGGAGTACCATTTTCTCTGTATCAGTTAATCACTTCTTGAACTCCATCTACAGAAACTCCTGTTTTCACTTATTATACTTTTCCCCTTATTATGTAAACACATAGTCTTATATAATATCCTCAGAAATATCTCGTGAAAAATGAATAGCTTTTACTTAATGGCCACTGGAGATAAAGGGTGGTCTCTGACTGTATTTTAAAAATTTGTATTAGAATGAAATTCATACATAAGCATCACATTCACTATTTTAATTTGCTTTAGAAACAGATTCCAAGCATTGAATCATGAGCTTTTACATCAAAATATCTATAAAATCATGCAATATATTCATTATACATTATACAATATACAGTCAATAAGTTGCATCCAAACTTTTGACTGGTACTGTACAGCTTGTGCTACATCCACAGCAGTGAATCACACTGAGCATCGACTTTTTTAGAAAGTCTACTGTGTACTCCCTCGTCACTTTATGAGCTCCAACTCCCTTATAGGTCCACTATATAGGTGTACAATGCATCACTGTACACATCATGCAACATTTATTGGCCACCTCTACCCCACTGTTGGTCAGTTTCTGACCACAGGGCAACTGTTGACTGGATACTGTTTTGGTGGTGGATCATTCTGAACACATCAGTGACTCTGCCATGACAGAGACATGTTGGCGTGTGTTACACACATCAGTTATACTGCCACATCATGGCTAACTGATGTTAACGCCAGATTTCCAAGTCAATGTTATGTCTCCTAAATCCACCAGAGGGCAATCAGCATAAATTATCAAGCGACCCAAAAGCACGCAATTTGTAAGGCGGTTTAAAAAAGGCACATAGGCCGATTTCCCTGTGTCTTCGAAAAGGACTTTTGCATAAAATCCTCTCACCAGTGATGTCCCACTGTTATTATAAGCTAAAGAAAGGCTGAGCTGAAAACATGAGGACACCGACTGTAGTGAATCTGTAAGTGGTGTGGGTGGCTGCAGTAGCTGTGTTGTAGCTTAGCTACACAGCTTCAATGCCATAAATATAAAGTAATTATTAATTTATTATGCTACAAAATGTCCATATTCAGAACGTTGGCTTGCCAGCAAAGTCTGAGAAGCCACCTGACCCAAATCATTGGTTACTTCATATGAGAACATTTTTGCTCATTAGTGTTAACACATCACCTTTATCAGAATGACTGAGCTGCAAATGACCCCATGGTATGTAAAACCCCATAAAATTCTAATTAAAGCAAAATAATATATAATTTAAGGTCAGCAAAAGCATGTTCTTCCTTCCATTTGGTAGTTATTGTTTGTGATCATGTTAGTAATTGGCCTGGAAGATACTAGGAGCCACAGCAGAGGCTTTAAACATTCCACTGGATGTTTTCTACATTTCTACATTTTGACAGCCCTAGTCTCTAACTAGGTAAGTATTTCTAATACAGTGGCCAATTTGCTAATATGATAATAACATCCCACAAGTTAACAATCAAACATAAAAAGTAAAAAGAAAGTGTGTAGCAAGCTTTTTTTTAATTAAGTGCTCTTGCTGAAGAACGATTAGACAGTGGACCCGTTCCTATGCGTTAGGTCTTAAACATTTGCCACATAGCGGAAACAATTAACACTGGTGTGTAAGAGGCTGCCCTCATCCTGTCCTTACTGCAGGCAAGATCATTCACCCAACAATATCCTGCTCCCATGGAGCCCTGCTTTATGCTAATTTAGGCTGCCTCTCTCCTTCAGCTGTCCTTGGCTTAGCTTCGCCTCTCCGTAAACAAAGTTAGCAGAGGCAGTGCTCCAAACAACCCTCCAACCTGCCCACCAAGGGCTAGTGGTGCAATAACGAGTAAAAAGAAAGGAACAAGATGTGACTCCGTTAGCCTGTGGCTGATCACTGATGCTGGCTGTTTGTTTTAGTGAACTGCTATTAGAGTGTAACCGCCCCATTTTTCTCTCCTCTCTTTTTGGGACAAAAGTGGAACGTGAGCAGATCTGACTGATTACTGCCTTAAAGAAACTGCTTAAACATTGCCATTAAACAGAACAGTAATAGTGAGAAACAGAAAGAAGGAGAGAGTAGTAGAACACTTCTAGACCTGCAGGAACCTGAAGGGTTCACTTATGTAGAAGTTTACCAGTGCAAAAGGAGACTGTGTATACATCTCCACTTTGTGTTTTACAGGAAAATTGAGAGATGCTGAGCTTTCCACTGGTGCTAATGAGTAAAATAATGACACATTTCAACAGCAGTTAAAGCGCACTGAAACAATGCGTGGGGGAACATGCTGACAGCCTTGTTATTTCAAAGAGAATAAACTGCCTCCGAGATCAGCCTTGATCTCAGACTTGACTTTGACTAAAGTGGGATTACCACTTCTTTCTTACATTGTTAAACTTGTGACTTCATATTTGAAACGCTAGTTAGGGAGTGTTTAACAACAGCGCCAATTTTGGCCCACATTTGCTCAAAACTGAACAAAGCTGAAATATGGATGTTAAAGATGTAACACCATAAAGCTTTCAGCCATTTTTATAGCACCAGGAAATAGATAGTACACTAGATAAGTGTTCCCAAAACACCTCAGCATCTGAGATAAAAGAAAAATGTCTTATCAAATCATATCAGAAGCACAGATTTGCTTTTACAAAACTAGGAATCTTCCCTAATCAGCATTGGCATCATCATTACATCAGCCATTTATTTTCAAAGCACATGAAAAAGAACAAATACAGCACACTCAGTTCCTCATTAGAACTGCATTACTGTGCAACAGAGCTTTCCCTTTTTCCAAGAACACATGCCAGCCTTCTAAATCAGCTCAATGAAGAGAAATGAAATAGTCATCACTATCTTCCTCCTCTTCTATTCCCAAATGATGGCAAATGGTGCCAAGAGCACATGGATGTAGCAAACAATCACAAATTTAAGAACTATCAGAGAGGACATTTAGAAAAGTAGGAGAAAGGGAGAAAGATCATCTGTATCGATATTCCAGCATTACTCAACCAACAATATTGATATTCAGAGTTAGTGGCATCGATGAAAAGATTTGTACAGTACTGTGCCAAAATCAGAGACCACTCTTTTATTATCCCACCATTTATTCAATTTCCAGTTAAAACAGCCATTACGTACATAATATGTCTGAAGAGATTACATGTAAGTATTACATATTAAGCAATTAGTATGTATTACATATTATGCAACTGGATAAAATAATCCGCTTGAATAAGGGAGAGAAAAATAAAAGAAAAACAGGCGAAAAACCACTGAATGTGTTTTAGACTACTTGAATGTTGTCAAGCCAAAACACAACCAACTTCTCAAACCGAACTTTGAAAATGTGGAAAAATATTCCTGCAGAAAGGAGACTTCCTTAAAGCAAGTCTCCTAAAAAGAATGGAAGTTGTAATAATGGTAAGGGGTGGACAAACAAAACACTGAAAAATCATATTGTATTTAGTTGTTGAGACTTCTGTGTAATTTACTGTTATGTATGTTTTCTTTGTGTCGCTGAAAAAACAAATGACTCAATAAAGGGTTGTGTCAGATCTTTGGACGCACTTTGCAAGATGTTCCAGATTGTTTTGTAAGAACAGTTCAAAATGCATAAAAACTAAACATACAGTAATTCTTTATGCAAATGTGCTTTCCGTCAGGTTAACAATTACTATACTGTGTAAGGTTCTTTCTGGTGTACATTTAAGAACAAACTGAATAGAACAGCCCAACGAAAACAAAACAGTGCTGAGCATGGCTTCATGAACTTTATTAAAGTAAACTTAAATATCATCAAATGCTGTGACGTGTTTAAAAAAAATACTGTAATGCTGATGTTTTTTGCCATTACCATCCAGCACAATGCAGGGCTAAGGTAGCGCACATCACCATGTTTATATGTATGTGAGCACATACAACATAAAACAAGTGGCCTAAAATACAGGAACAAAATAACGTGTGGCACTATCCCTCATCCAGCCCAACGCAGGGCTATGATGTAGCCTGGTGTATTGGGTGTCCCATTAAAAGCGCGGTGGCTTTAACACGCAACACCTCAGACGCTTTTTAGTGGTGGGACACGTTAGGAAAGAGCACTCTGACATAGACAAATGGGTACAGGATCAATAGAGAGGGCCTGATCAGGTGACGGCCGGGGGGCTGTGTCCCACTGGCACGTCCCTGCGCCCTGAGTGCCCCATCTGGGTCTGAGAGCCCCTGCCAAGCCCTCTCATATCTGTCAGTGGCTGGAAGAACGAATAGCGTTGATGAATAATATATTATGGCTGATATTTTTAGGTAAGCTGTGGGCTTGGGCTCTTGCGGCTCGTAGCTGGTGGCTCAAGTTTTATTTATTTATGCCTTTTTTTTTCCACAGGAAAAAGATGGAGGATCGGTAGCACCCCCTTCTCAGAATAATGAAGTGGGGATTGTGAAACACTGAAGAGTTTCTATTGAATGTCACAAAAATGTCACCTCTGGAAAATGTCACTTCGTATTTGGAGTGCAGTCCATGAGTGTCCACTGACACGTCCACAAAAGGCACTATCAGACCCTGTCTTCTTCTTCTTCTCCTCCGTCTTCTTGCTTTTCTTATTCAGAAGGTTATATGCATCAGACATCTTGACATTAGCGGGCCGAGGACGCAATGGCTTGTTAAAGTTCTTCACACGGTGCGAGAGGGAGGAAGGCTTAGCCTGAAAGGCCGCAGAAGTTGGAGCGGGAGCTGTGGAAGGAGACCAGTGGCTCAGGCTTTGAAGTGATCAAAGCGTCATTAGGGATGGCGTGGATCAGAAAAGAGGGAGATTGGAATAGCGGAGGCACTGAGGCACAAAGCAGAAGCCTCTCGGCTTTAAGACTCTGCCCAGCGCAACAAACGCGCACTCCGAAGATGCTCCCACAAATTACAGCACAAGGCGGGGGGTGGTATGATCCTGCTATGATCCAAAGCCTCTCGAAACATCACATTTCTGCATCAGGACCAAAGTGCAAAAGCCTAAAAATATGATGCTCTGAATCTGAGGCCTCTCCGGCACATTACGCCTCAGCCTTAAGGAGACAGGAATCAAAATGTCAGGCCATTAGAAGCATCCTCCATGTGAACCGGATAGATGTTCTTTTGATGCTTCCCCTTTTTTTCCTCCGCATTTCCAGCTCTGGCGTTTCTTCTGCGCTTTGATAAAAGAGAACAAGGAGGGTTGGAGTATGCGTACGCATGTGTGTTTGTGTGTCCATGAGATTTCAAAAAGAAGCTGCATTTCTTTTCTTATTTGTGTTTCTGCCTATTGTGCTACTCTTAAATGAGCTTAGGAAAAGCACGAGAGAGAGAGAGAAGAGGGTAAGGGAGACTCACAAGCAAGTGCCAAAGGATCTCACTAGAGTTTAAAAGATGAAAAGGGAACGAGACAATGGCACAGAGACTCGAAGAAACCACACGGGACGCAACGATAGCGATTGTGTCTCTCCGATATGAAAGAGCGTGGCCGGGACCCTGTGCCCCAGGTGCCTATGGGAGTTCGACTCAAAGGCATTGTGACATGCCACTACTCACTGTATTCATGGATATGGGAACCTTGTGTTGTTGCTCTGCTCCCGTGATCTCAAGCACAATTCCTTAGCTGATCTAAATGGACTAAAAATAAAAGAATGCTGACATCTTGGCAGAAGAAAAATACAACATGCCTCGGGAGATACGACACAGCAGCTCTAAAGAATCACCTGCACATACAGTATAACTAGTGCATCACTGTGCTGTATTGTATTTTAACTGAAAGTTTGGTGAAACTCCCAATTTATGCAATTTCCTCCTTAATCCAAATGCAGCTGATTAACCAAGACATCTTTGCTTCGTGAAGTTTAGCAGGGATGCAGTGATACCACTTTTTCCCTTCTGGTAACGATACCTGATCCTCAAGTATCTGCCAATACTGAGCGCTGATACCAATCCTAACTCTGTCTAATCTGACTACTCAATAAGTGCCCATAAATCCTGCTATTTATACCATTCCACATTTTAAATACTTTATTTTGGTAAAAAAAAAAAATAATAAAAATTACTGGTTGGATGACTTCCCATTTGTGCATGTAGATCACTCCCCAAATTCAGCTCGAGGCAAAAAAGGGGAACTTTGAGAAGCTCGGGCTGGAGTTCTAGGGCCTTCTACTGAGCACGGGAAGCTGGACCCCCTGTCCCCCAGCAACTGAGTGAGGGAAGAGGTGAGGAGATGAGGAGATGAGGTGGTGGAGGGGTGCAAAATTTTGTCACGGAAAACTGAACGGAGGAAAGAGGATTTATAAGGCTGATGATGAAGAGAAGGAGAAGTTTTGGGTGTGGTCTTTCTCACGTTATTTCAAAACTAATTGATTATAGAGCTACAACGTCACTGTGCTCTCTGGCATGGTTTAAAAGCTTTAAAAGCTTAATTCAATTTGATGAAGTAGTTGCTGATCATGCCTCCCTCTGAAATACTGGCATCACAGATTTTGCAATGAGCGTTTTTGCATTTTTTGCAAACAAGCAGTTTTACTACTGCTTGTCTCAAATGTGAAATAATCCCACACTGCTGATATGTTGATTTCTTCAGTTAGGCTTCATCTACTGGTGTGCACGTAAGTGTCACCAGAGACGTTATAAAGGAAGAGACAGGTCACTGGTTAGAAAATGAATAGGAAAGCTGTAACACTTAACATGGCGCCTATTTACAGAGAAAGTCCCACTCTTCAATAAAACGAGCCAACTGGCTTGCTGGTAAAGCTGTAAGCAGGAGAAGCTGTCCCTCGTTGTGCAGATATGCAGAAGCGCAGTAGCCAGAACATGCTGAAAAAACACATTTTTGTGAGTTATCTGAGCCAAACACTATAACCTATGTGATGGCCTAGTTTTGGATTTATTGTATAGTCCCTTCCCCTTCAAAGAGATATGCCCGGGGGCACTGCCAAGATGGCCACTGAATAGACAGACTTAGCCCTAGAAAGACTTCCGTGCCACTTAGTAGACCACCATAAAGCCATCACTCACCTTCCCTCGAAGGGGTTGGCCCCGGGGATGACGTGGGTGCTATCTCGGCCCACCAGGAAACGCACACGCTGGTAGAAGGACTGCAGGTTGCTCGGGCTGGAGGAGATCTGCGTCTCTTGGATGATGTCCAGAGGGTCCGGAGAGCCCACACAGAGAGAGGTGGTGTGGCACGAGGCCTGCAAGCAGCAGTCTGGGTCCATGCAGTCCAGCAGGCCATCTGACAACATTAGAGACGGTCATTAGGACAGTCAACAAACAAGATTTACAATGTAGCACTTGCAGAGTTTCCAGACAAATTTCACAGAACAGTACGTGTAAAATGGCAAAAGCATTTACCACATCAGATTCCCCAATTCAGGAAGTTTCGTGAGTAATATAGACTACTGGTCCACCATGCATGGTCAGAAATAATTGGTTGTCTTATCCCACTCTATAACTGCAAAGTCTTAGACAGAGCAGTTTTCTCTACACCCCTTTTTCATTTTTGTAGGCTTTCCTGCCACCAAGTCTTTTCCTCACCTCCTCCTTCCTGTAATTCAGCTCAAATAATTCAAGACTCCCGGCCAGGAGAGGGGCACTTTAGAGCACTGAAGTGGGTCATCCCTCTCTCTCTCTCTCTCTCTCTCTCTGCCTTTCTGTCTCTCTCTTTCCCTCTCTCTCTTCCACTCTCTCTTTTTCTTGGATCTCAGGAACCTCTCTGGACAGATAGGCAGGAAGACAAAAATAACATGTCTCCTGGCAAACGTCACGCCGCTGCCTCTACAAGGCCTGTCTCTCCCATCACAAGGCAGCCAATTGACCTACCCAGGGTCCGCCCACAAACGTGTTCTTGCAAGGTCTTTGACAAAAACCCCACTGAAGCTAAGGCAAAACTATAATGTATAACTTAGTTATTGTCAAAACACCAGTATCAAAATTGGACCACTACAATATTTTTTTTTAGATCTGCTACATAATATTGATTTTATAGTTTAAAATGTCATGCCACCAAGCTGGACTATGTTAAGGTAGCCATTACAAACTAGGAACAATGAAAATAACAATGAATTTGTCACGCTATTAGCATTATTTTTTCATTATGGAATTGTGTGATTTACAAAACCATAAAAAACTGGATTTTGTAATTGTAGCAAGCAAGTCAACATTTCTAAAAGTGTTCTTATAGCGTTTAATTTTTTTACTGCAGCAGTTGCACATGATTGTATTATATCAAGAAAGTTGCAGTTGTGCTGTTTGTGGAGAAGTGTGAATTGTTTTTCCACAGTAAAGGTTCTAATCCCAATTTTCACCACTCATTGCTCACTAGCAGCTCAACACAGAGTCACATTTCACACTCACAGAAAGCCAACAGTGTCCTAAATAATCTGATAACATTGGCATACATATTTTATTTGATGTTAATTAAAAATATTCACTTGATTTTTTTTTTACTGAAGGCCTACAGAAGGATGTTGACACTGTAACCTGTCACAGATGGATTTTGTTAATGGTCTGTTTTTGTCTTTTCTTGAGCTTGTTGTGGGTGACTGTTTCATAACTTCTTACTACCACAGATCTAAGATTGCTTTTTTCAGTGCTGACTAGATACTTATGTAAATCTGAATGCCTTAATGCACCAAGGGGGTTGGCTCCATATTGCAGACAGTAAATGAGAAGGAGTGTAATTTCCACATTAGCTCAGATTTCCTGCTGTTCCAGCACAGCTCATCCTCCAACACATGTCCAAGCATCAAATCTGATTGGCCAAGACCTTGCCAGATAGACAAACAGCTTTTGAATAAATGGAAGTATGCAACTGCATAAAATACAGCAGTCAGTGAATGGTGAGGCAGTGTATTTGCTCGTCACGGCTGGAGAGGGCTCTCCAGAGGGAGTGTGTCCTCTGGAGCCTATGTGTTCTGGACTCTTGCAGGTCTCTGTGACAGGCACAGGCTGAGGCTTATTTCGGGGCTTAGTGGGAGGCCATCCCTGAAGCTGGTGCATGCTGGGATTTGGAGGCACGGCTCTGCGGGGTTTGTATGCCTCCCTTCTCGGATTACAGAGAGCTCAGAGGCTCTAATTCTCACTTGGAGTGGTCTCACTCTCCTACAGCCAATGCCCAGCATCTGCAGGCAGGTTCATACACATCCACTGTTATTTAAAGAGCTACCTGATTACTTTTTTTTGGAGCAGGTGCTCAGGACCAGCGCTGGGCAGGCTTAAGCAAGAGATAAAACCAACAAACACAGAGTGGCTCTATTTCAGGTACATGTGAAAAATAAAGGTAATATAAGGAACAAGAGAAGAGAAGAGAAGAGAAGAGAAGAGAAGAGAAGAGAAGAGGACCGATGAGAAAAGAACAAAGGAAAGGAGAAGAGAAGAGGAGGAAAGACAACTGAAAGAAGACAACTGATGAGAAGAGATGAAAGGAGAAGAGAGGAAAAGAGAAGACAAGAGAAGTGAGGAGGTGGAAAGAAACTGAAGAGAATATAAAAAACACTGAAGAGAAGAGAAGGAGAGAAGATAAAGAACTGAAGAGAACAGACAAAGCAGAAGAAAAAGTAGAAGAGAAGAGAGGAAAAGGAAAGAGAACTAAATAGAAAAAAGCAGAATAGAAAAAAGTAAAAGAGTAAAAGAGAGAAAAGAAAGAAGGACTTTTGGAACAAAGAGAAAAACAGAACTGAAGTATGGAGAAAAGAAAACTAAAGAGAAGAGGAAAAAAGCAAATGAGAAAAAGGAGGAGACGAGAAAATAAGAGAACAGATGAAAAGAAAAGAGAGGAGGAAAGGAGCAATGCAATATTTAAATTAAGCTTCCTCTCTGTTTGAGAGCCCATTAGTAACTCCTCAGTCTCCTCTGTGCCTGATGCGGTGATTTGTGGATGTTTGCGCGTTTACCTCCGTCGTTGTCCTTGGCGTCGCTGCATGCCGTCTCCATGGAGGTGTCACAGCCTGTTCCTCTCCAGCCCAGCTGGCACACGCAGTACCAGCCATTATTACCCAGCGTGCACCTGCCATTGCCGTTACACAGACCAGGGCAACCCTCTGTGCACACACAAGCAGAAGAGTGATGTCAGTGGAAGAGAATGCAGATCCCAACAAACTTCAACACCTTGACGATTAAAAAAAAATAGGTGAAGAAAGAGAGATAAGAAGGAAGTGGGTATTTAGAGCCATTAGTCTACATAAAATTTTATCTTGCGTTAAATGCAGCAGAAATGGCTTTGGGGTAACGGGACGAAAAATGCGTTGGAAATAATGGCCTCTGACTCTGGGTGATTAATTTGATACACCTTTTGTTAAGCTCCTCATATCCCTTTGAAGCAGGCACCCATTGCAGAGTTTCTCTAAATCAATAGACTCTCATTAGTGCTGCAGAATGGATCCAGCTCTTAGGTGGACAGTGAAAGAGAGAGAGAAAGAGAGACAGAGACAGAGAGTAAGCAATGAGGAATAACCAGGGATGCAGCAGTAGATTAACTTAAATCCTTAATGTAAGAATAGTCCACTGTGATATAATTTTTACTATTTCAAAGTCTGTTGTGATGTTTCACCAACCACTAAAATCAGGTGCTTTGGGCCGGGGATGGGCAGGATTAAGCAGGAGATAGAAACAACCAACAATGGATGACTCTATTACAGGTATATGTGGACAAGAGTGGCAGTATAAAGGTAGAAGAGAAGAGAAGAGAAGAGAAGAGAAGAGAAGAGCTTTGGAAAGAAGACAGGAAGAGAGAAATGAAGGGTGAAAAAGAAGAGAAGAGAAGAGAAGAGAAGAGAAGAGAAGAGAAGAGAAGAGAAGAGAAGAGCTTTGGAAAGAAGAGAAGAAGAGAGAAATGAAGGGTGGAAGAGAAGGTCTGCTGATAGGAATTTTACTTCTCCTTCTGCTGTAATGATATTCCTACATGCCTGATGTTTTTAAACAGTGGATGTATTGTAGTGATTTTCTTATTGCATATGGTATGTAGGTAGAGCTTTCTAATAGGTTAGGACTTCAGGAGCTGGATCGAAGGCTTGACACATCAAATTAAGTAACAAACAATCCACCAGTCATGTTATGATTTCCAATAGATAGGACCAATTTTATGAGGGAAAAAATTGACTTTTTTTTTGACCATTTTTGTTTTTTGTTCTTTGATTCTCATTTGTGCTTTGATGTTTATGGCCAGAACCGAAAGCCTAGATCTTTAAGTCATGGAATACAAAATCCACTACATAATACACAAATGTGACTGGACTATTCACAAAGTAGCAGAAATATATACTTTATAACAATACAGCAAAATGTGAACATCTGAATATAGCACAAGAATTTCATAATGGCTAAAAAATGAGCGCATGTTTTACAGAACACTGTCATTAGTGATTGTAATTGATTCTAACACGCTAAAATCAATGCAGATGAATCACCATCTTTAGTTTGATGAATCATGATGCACTGATACATTTTTATACCCTTAGTCATTCTGCATAACCCCTAGAAACAAACAGAGCAGAAAGGCTGTAAAGCCTGATGCTATCAAATACAGAATTCTGACATGCTTTAGGCAAGCAGAGCTCGCCAACATCCCCAACCATGACCTGCTTTACTGGCGTCAGTTACTGGTGCCACATGACAGGGAATAAGGAAGAGAGAGAGAAAGAGAGAGAAAGAGCATGGTGGTTGGTGGGTGTTTTGTATAGCAGAAGGAAGGTGGAGGTTGCCTGATAAGAAGGAGATTTGAGATGCTTCCTGGCAGCCATGATGTAAGAGAAAATGGCTGCATGTGGAGAAGCATCGAATGTGTTGATCTGAGCTTTGTGCAGCCGCTCTTGTGATAAGGCAGTGCTATATGTGTATGGGGGCCTCTATGGTTCACACACTATAATACGTAATATGTTTAGCACAACTGAAGCAAGAAGCAAAGACTCAAAGCTTGAGAAACACGATTAGAAGCTTTGCTTTCCATCTGGTCTTGAATGCATACAGGCATCTCATGTCTGAAAGCAGTTCACCAAAATATGAGCTGCTTTGTCAGACGTGAAGATGCGCCAAAGTGCTGTGTTATATTTTTGTAATATCCTCACTGGGGAGGGTAAGTCGTGACCTTACAACAAGTTGATTCAATTATGAGGCACGAGGAATCGATTCAGTGCATCGTTAAATGTCAAGTTTCACTATGATTCAACTGAACACAGTTATTTACTTAGGGACAATAAAAATATCACAAGTAGTGCCTGAAATATCTGTCCAGGACCCAACTGCTCACGTGTGGTGTGGTCAGGTTTACATGTCATTTCCCATATTCACGTCCAGGTTCACACACCTGAGCTTCTACTTCTTAGTTTTGGATTTTACTCTTCATTTCCTCCTGCTGTAGTTTATCTCCTTACTTTACTCTACCTTCCTACTTTCATTACCTTAAAATAGTCTTAATACTGTCATGCTGGACTCAACCACTTATGTTGTTGATGCCTCGCGCTTGTGAGAAAAACAGGAAATAAACAGTGAATCGATTCAGGGAAGTAGTTTAGTACAGCAAAAAGGATGTTTGAGCAAAAATATTTTTACGTTATATGTTCAATATGTTTTATGTAATATCATCTATAAAACATGATGATGTGGTTTGGTCTGGGCTCGGACTGAACGTTCTCGGGCTATATTCAGGCTTGGAACAAAATTTCATGCCAAATTAAAGCAGTGGTTTCTAACTTAGTCCTCAGGACCCCCCAAAAATGGTCCATATTTTTGCTCCAAACCAACTTACAACACATTGGGATGAAGAAAAGTGTTGATCCTTTGGGGGCTCTGAGGACCAGGTTAGGGTCCCACTGTTCTAGATTATCTGAAAATAGCCTGAGAGTATTATTTTTGCCAAAAGAGCATATGTTAGCAATGTTAGCAATTCTGACTTAACTGAATACTTGATTACACTGAATTGCAACATTTCAAAATCCACTTTGGAATCAACAAAAATACAAAGATGCAAATGAAACACCACCTTCAAATGCATTTTTACTCCTAGTCACTGCAATGTATCTTCTGAAGATTCATCTCTGTGAGAGTGCCACCGGCTACCTTTCCTCTCATCCCAGCAGAGAAGCAGCTCTATGTAGCTTCGCTCAGAGGAGGCAGTTGATTAGTTGCTTCTGAATGCTTATTACAAGGATAAATAAATAAAGATGGGCTCTCCGCTGGCACCGGTTCAGTTTAATTGGCAGCCCTTTCAGAGAGAGGCCCCCACGGAGCCGCAGCCAGTCAGACTGAAGCGGCCCCAGAGCTGAGCGGGCTTGCAAAATGCCTCGCCCAACCCCTGCCGCTCACGTTTGCGACACAGGTGGTCCGGAGAGACTAAGAGAGAGAGAGAGTGAGAGAGAGAGAGAGAGAGAGAAAGGGACAGAGAGATGGCAAGAATGGCAAGGATGAGAAAAGAATAGAAAAGAGAGAAAGAATACTGAGGACCTAGTTCAATACAAGTGTGGGTGAGCAAGGAAGACTATGTGAATGTGGGAGGGAGACCTGCTACTCAACTCTGAGTGGTCTTTAAAGGAATAGTTCAGTGAAAAATCTAATTTTCACAGTTGTGCGCGGCAACTATGAAGCTAATGTAGCATATAATTAGCATTGAAATTGTATGCCAAAACCAACACACAGTTGCTGTAATGTGTGTTGAGTTGCTATGTAATCTCAAATAGGCTTTCTTTGTGGTTTAAATACTGTTATCTGTAGGAAAGGAAAGTTCTCCAATCACCCCATGTTGTTTGCATCCAAAACATGGGTTAACATTCAGTTGGAGGTGCTGCACATTACAGTTTGTAAAGGGTAATGTGCCATGTCACCCCTATACTCAGTTACATGTTAACAATTATAGTAAAAGACTGAAATACAGTTTTTACAAGTGTTTCACAGCTGCACGCAACACATTCAATTACTCCACAAGATAGTCAAGTAAGCAGCTGGTCAGCATGTTACTTACATTTGCATATATACATATGATGGCACGCACATAACAAACACAACTGGATGAGTGAGAAATCCGACCGGCTCCCTCTGCATTAAAAGCCAGGTCAGGTCAGGAGTCACAACACAAATGATAAGAAGAGCCATTTTGTCCTTTCAACAAAAATGAAACCGCCTTGGGAGCCGCAACATTTAATGTCCAGTATGTGATAATGTCCTAGTTTAGGCTAAACAATATAAACGAAAACGCAGATTTACTCTGCTCTGCTTTAAGCTTTAGCTCAGCTTTAGCCGCTTTTCTTCCATCTCCGCCAGAAAACTTTTCCTCAAAACTAGAGCAGTTTCCTGTAAAATGTCTCTCAGCGTTCGACTGTTTTACGAGGCTGAAGTTGCTTCTCACTTGCCAGCTTCTTGCTGAACTTTCCCGTTCCACCTTGAATTCTGACTGAGGCACCGAATGTATATGCAGCACCATTTAAGGTGGAACGGGAAAATTAGCAAGAGAAGCTTCATCTTCGCAACATTTTAGTGTTTGACAGTCTCTCGTTGCAGATTTAACGTACCAGGAAACCAACTGCACTGCTTATAAATGCGAATAAGTCCATTCGTCTCCAAATGTTCGTCTGTCTTTCTCTTTTCCTTTTTCGTTCACTACTCGCTCTGCGAAACCTCGTTGCTATGTGACCTGCAGTCTGCAAGCGAGTTCTCAGTCGTTGCAAAACAGGGCTTTCGCGCACCCCCTCCTTATCACGAGATCAAAGCCAAAGTTATAAAATCACTAAAGAAAATGGGTAGAATAGCTGTAACGTGCTGCGTGGACATCCATCACCACTGGATCTTATTTCACAGTAACAGCGCATTTTATCACAGATCAGTGGCAGCAGCGTCTCCAAACAAGAGCAGTGAATGAGAGCCTTCGAGTTCACTTGACACATCACTTCCATTTGTTTTATTAATAAAAGATATTGGACGTAAATGCATTATGGATCATTACAAATACTTTGCTTTAAAACTACTAAGTCCTCAGACAGTAAGAAAATAGAAATCAGGTATATAAAAAAGATGCATCGATAATCGTTTTATAATCGCATCACAGCCCTCTGAA